TATATTAAAATCTTAAATCTATTCTTAGGAATAAATCTTTTTACTTTATAAGCTTTTAGCCTAGCTCTGCAAGCGCTTGCGCGGCTACGCAATTGGCTTGAATGCACTCGTTCCCTTGAAGTGACGCCGTCTCGCCTAACCAGAGCATAAAGTCAAGCTGTGTGGCAAATAATCGTTTGAAGTGCCTTTGCAGCCATGCCTGCCCGCCTGGCCGGTAGTAGACGCTATAGCAAAGTGGCATCACTAAGTCAGGGAAGCGGCACGTCGTCTCCTCGTGGTCCGGGTCGGCTACGCGGCAGAGGTCCTGCGGCTGGTAGCACTTCCAGCACGCCACGTACTGCTAGATCCACTCCTTGCCCTCGCTCTTGCGCGCCTGGTAGGCCTCGTCCTTGGCACGGATCCAGTGGAAGCGCCGAGAGTAGCTACGGGGGGCATGGTTAAACCTACGGCTCTGTATACGACAAGAGAGGCACGTGCCAGCTACCGCTTCCAGATCTTGCTCGTAGCGGTCCAAGGCCTGGTCTTGAATATAGTCCTGTCGTAGTACTTCCTCAGGGCCGGTGAAGGCCACTTGGGCTGGCACTGCCAACTCAAACCTCAAGTCCAGAGGCCGGGCTTCATGGTGAGGCTCTTTGCAAACCTGGCACACCTCCTCCCCTAGCATACACCACCGCCAATGCGGCTGGTCATCGAGGAACTGGCTGAGGACGCCACGGGAGCAGTACTGCTGGGTCAGGTACAGCTGCATGGCCGCCTCATCTGGGGACAGGCCCTGCTCGAGCCGCGGTTTCCACGTAGCGCTGAGCATGACAATAGAAGAGGCCTTACTACCATCCCGGCCAGCTCTGCCCGATTCTTGAGAGAAGGAAGTGGCCTTGTCAGGCGCGTCGACATGGATCACCCAACGGATGTAGGGGTAATCAAACCCGATTCCAAGAGCAGACGTAGCTGCAATCACGGGCTGCTCCCTATTACTAAGCTAGCCGGCGATAATGGCAGCCTTCTCCTCCTCGGTTCCCGATTTGGACGTATACGTAGGGCAGTGGAGGATCTTAGCTAGCTGGGCTACCTCCTCCCGGGTCCGGCAATAGATAATGATCTTGTCTCGGGCGTGGGTGAAGATCTCTTGCATAGGCTAGCACGCCTGGACCAAATTGGCAGCTCTCTCGATTAGAGCACCAGGCCCGGTCTCGAAGCTGACCATGTACTTGATATTGGGCCGATTAGTCGACTCCCGGATAATTCTGGGCTTCACGAGCTTATTGTGCTCGATAAACTCCTCTTGCATCACAGGAGGGAGGGTTGCAGTCAGCCAGACCGTCTGCGTCCTGACCTGCCGGACGTACTAGCCTAGCTGGGCCATGCAAGGCCGGTAGTCGCTAGCGGTAATGGTGAGATGACTCTCGTCAATCACAATGCGGTCTAGCTGCTGCCGGCTGACCAAGAGGTGGCAGTACTCCAAGAAGCCTTGAGTACACACAGCTTCGGCTGACACGATGACTAGGGAAGCTGATTGCTTGCACTCAACAGACCAGACCAAGGGCCGGATGCCCACTTCATGAAACCGCCTGAGCATATCACCCCGCAGAGCCACCATGGGCAGAACTAGGACCGTGGTCCCCGCATCTGCAGCGGCAGCACTAGTCATAATAGGCAGCGTCTTACCAGAGCCGGTTCCTATTACCAGAACCACTTGCTCGGCTGGCTGAGGCCCCATGATGGCAAGCACGCCATTCCGCTGGCCGGGGACCCGGAATTGCAGGTCGGGCTTGTTGTACAGCTTCCGTGCTACGGCCAGCAAGTTAGTCTCAGAGTAAGCACCCTTCTAGCGATGCTGACCACGCTTGGAAGCATCTAGTATTCGTAGTGAGAGCGTCTCCGAAGCCCCTCGAGGCCGCTTTCCCTAGAGGAGATGATCAAACCGGAAGAACGTCCGCCAGCTCTCAGACGCCCGGTAACTGCGGTATAGCAGGGCACTTATAGTTAGTGTGGTCGTGCTAGTATAGGCATGATTAAACGTATAGTAGCTGTGGTTGCTAAGCTTAGCTAAGGCCACAAGATCCAGCTCGTCCTCGATCTCCTCTCCCATACTATCTTCAAGCTCGAAATCGGCCCGCTCTTTAGCTAAGAACTTCTCTTTCGTGATCGATGCTGCTATCTGCCGCTAGTTGGAGCTGTAGAGTACTAGCACCTGGGCACGAGTGCAAGCCTTACGTAAGCAGGCTGACAAAGCCTCGTCCGTCCAGACGCTCCCATCAAGCTTGGCCCAGAGGTAGGGAGAGAGTAGGGCACCGGGCTTCTGTTGGCGGAGGAAGAGCTGTCGTAGAGGCAAAACGTAGGCGATGTATGTAAGGAGCAGATCGCCAATGGCCTTAGGCAAGAAGCGGATGTTGTCCTTGTAGGCGCCTGACTGTTGCTGGCTCTTATGGTATTGCGTATAGATCATGACTAGCTTCTCCCAAATGAACAAGTGGCGCTGGCGAGTTGTATTGCGCCACGTGACTGACAGCAGCTCTGGGGCCCGCAGCGGGGGGCCAGGTGCAATGTGGCAGAGGACTAATAGCCGCTTAAGGAAGTCCTGAGCGTGTGCCTCGTAGATGGCTATAGCTGTAGGGTTGAGAGCTTTGCATCTACCGTCCCCATTAGCTAAGAACATAGCCCGAAGCTCAGTGCTGCCTTGGATCCGCTGGAGCAGAGCTTGCTCAGCACCCTCTAAGAACTCGGCATTGTGGGCATGCGAGAGCCAAGAGCCGCCAAAATCGTCCAGGTCTAAGTCGTCCTTCAGCCTCCACGATTCCATGGGCGTCAAGTCTCGGGCACCAAACATTAGCTCATCGTGGAGCAGAGAGTAGGCTTGCTGGTACTCAGACAGGACCAGCTGCGAGATCTGGGCCATCTGCAGCTCCACTCCTCGGTATCCGACTATCTGACCGTCCAAGGACCACCGGGCCTGGTGCTTAGCAATAGCAGCTTTGCCCACCTTGAAGAGGTAGAGCCGCCACTGCAAGATGTGGCCAAAGGGCGTCTCGGCTAGCTGCTGGAAGAACTTCTTGCAGATCTTGGCTAAGAAAATAGGAATCTGGTCCTCATCTTCTTGCTCTTGAAAGCAGGCATAGTCGAAGAGCACCATCTGAGCCGTCCAGGTCAAGGCAGACAAGTGGCTATTGTAGTTGCCCGGCTCCATCCACTGGCCCTGGCCTACCCCACTACCCCGCACTTTGCGACTGAGCATGGCACAGAAGCTGAGCACTGGGGACTTGAAGGGCACGCTCCCAACCGTCTGACAGATCAGGGCGAGGTAGAGCCGTCGAATGGCATGCTTGAGCGCCAGCGTAGCCTCTTCCTTATCCTCAAGAGCTAGGGCTTCTATGATCTCGTCTATGGCCTGGACCTGCTGAGCAGTAGGCTGGATGACGTCTTGGGGCAGCTTCTGGTCTGGCTGAGTCCGCGTAAAGTGGCCCTCCTCACAGTACACGACCCGGTAGTAGTACGCTAGCAGCTGCTTCGTAGTGGTGAAGTACTTAGTCAGCGTCGACGCGTTCTTGTAGTACCGGAACCCGTCTGCCCTTCCTGATGCCCCGGCGTAGAATTCGTTCAGGATATTGGCCCGCTGCTGTGTCATTTTCCGGTCTGGCGAGGTGTCGCTGTAGAGCTGGTACGCGTCTCTCAAAACAGCCTCAGCTGCAACTAGAATTCGGACGAGATTAGGATCCTCAGCATCCTCGGCACCGGCATCTAGCACCTTCTTTGGCGGCAGGGCGTACGAGCTCTTGATCTCGTCGTCCTTCAGCCTAGCTAGGTGAGATGGGAAGTCCGTCCGCTCGAGCCACGGAACCCTCTCTGATCGAGAATCCCCGAAGTCATGGACAGTGCTAGCTTGCTCCTCCAAATCACGTGCTACATCTTTACAGTCCCTTTCCAGCTTCTTAAACAGCTCTTGTTCGGGTTGTGTTAGTGGAAGGGAGGAGCCCTGGCGTACAACGCTAGCTTGAGGATTCTCTACGACTACAAAGTAATCGATCCGCCCAAACGCGGTAAAGTATGTCTGAAGCTTAACTGTCCTCCATTGCACAGACGAATTATAAACAGTAGCCTTGATTTGATGTACAAAAGACGTATGTTTTCTGATTTTACGGGCATGGCGGGTCCCGTACCGACATTCTGGCTGCAGGCAATAAAACCCATCGTATACTGCGAGATGATCGATCACTTGGCATTCATCCTCGGCTTGAGGCTTACACTGTTTCAGCTCCTCGAGGGTTCTAAGGCTGTAAGTACTAAACAATTCAAGCGTCGTCTTTAGCTCCGCGCCTAACAGTCGGTGTGGTTCTGCTCGTAAGTGATATTCTTGACTTCGACTGCCTGGAACAATACAAGAGTGACAAATACGACATACAACCACTTGGTGAACTGAGTTGTAAGAAAAGACGCTCATATTTGAAGGTTCGGGGGAGGTGTGAGGAACTTAGGGAGGGCTAGGGTAAGTGAACCCTCACCCGAAGAACTCTGAATCAAAAGCTGCTTAATCAGCAACACACGGGCCAACCATCCACCCCGCCACCTGAACTCTGAATCAAAGACCCGCCCCGCATAGGGGGTAGATTTCGCCGGTTTGTCGATGCTCGGATTACCTTGGGGCTCACTAAGTTGTTCTGCTCTTCAAACGTAGCTTGTATTGTCGGAGGTAGAGTAGCTGTTAAGTAAACAAACTACGTACGGACGTTGCGGATTAGGGCGAGGTTAACTATAGCCTGGCGATAGTCGGACGCTATGATAGTCAAGTGAGCCTCGTCAAACACAATGCGGCCGAGGTCTTGCGTAGCCGCGAGCTTGTGGGCGTAGGTCCGAAACTGTTCCGTACATGCTACTTCAACTGTGACAAACACTAAGGGCACATCTCGCTGCTCGCCAGGCGACTACACTAAGTGATCGATCCCTAACTCTCGGACTCGGCGGAGGAGGTCCCCTCGCAGAGACACAAGGGGCAAGACTAAGATCGTCACCCTAGCATCAGGGAGGATGCAGGGCAGCATGAACAGCAGGCTCTTCCCCTCGCCAGTAGCTATGATAACTACCACCTGCTTAGTCCATGATATGACAGTAGTCACAGCCCGTTCCTGGGCTGCTAACCTCCATTGCAGCGTGTTATCCTAGTACAGCTTTCTAGCGCTCTTTAGTAGAGCCATAGCTAACCACTTCTTCCGTGGCCGGTAGACCCCCATGGCGATCTTCTTGAGCATTTGCGGACCACCAATGTCTTCACCATCCCGCTTTCTCTTCCTAGCAGGTCTAAGCAGCTGGTCAAGCCCCCACAAGTCCTTCCACAGAGTTGAAGCACGCAGATTCCGGCGGATAAGGCCATCCCATACATTCCCAAAGTTAGCATTATGTTGGTTTGCATATACCCGGTTAATAGTCCGCGTACTATGGTTCCGCTGCTTGGTCATAACCCGAATGTCAGCCTCAATCTCTTCAGCATCCTCGTCGTTAGCCCCGTCGTCGACCTCAAAGCACCCGACGTTAGCTGCAAACTTAGTCTTGACGATATTGACCGTCATCTGCCGCCAGTTGGCGATGTGTAACCGGGGGATGCCAGCCCGAGTACACGCCTGCTCCATGCATTGCGTGAGCCGGTTGTCAACCCAGACCCTACCATTTCTCCACCACAGGTAGGGGGATATAACAGCGTGCGGGGCAGACTGGCGGAGGAAGACCTGACGGAGCGGGATGACAGCTACTAAGTAGTCCAGCAAGAGGTCCCCAATAGGCGCAGGCAAGAACCGGATGTTATCCTTGAACTTGCCCGTCTGCTGCTGCCCCTTGTGGTACGTAGTGTGTAGTATGACTAGCCCGTGCTTGAGGTAGACGTTCCGCCGCCGCTAGGTATTACGCCAGGTGACGGAAAAGAGCTCACTCTCGCGCAGCGGCTGGCCAGAGCTCATGTGAATCAAGACCAAGAGCCTTTTCAGGAACTCGTTAGCCACAGCCTCATACCGTTCAATCGCCTTCCCCCGCCAGGCCCTGGCGTCATTAGCAGTAATCTCGAGGAAAGAGTCCCGCAGCGGCTTCGAGTCTTGGATCACAGTTAGTAAAGACTGTGTCAGCGGCTTCAGAAGCTCAACGTTCTCCCGGTGCTAGCCAAAGAACCAGCCAAAGGCGTCGGCGTCTAGGTTGTCCTTCAAAGCCCAGGCCCGCATCCGTGGGAGGTTCGGGGCCCCGAACATAAGCTCGTCGTACAGCAAGTGCTGGGCCTGCTGGAACTCGGAGAGCAAGAGCCGCGGCACGTGATCTATATGCAAGTCAACGTCTTTATAAGTCAGGACCTTCTCGTCCACATCCCACTGTGCTTGGTGCGACCCAACGACCTCCTTCGAGACGGTAAAGAGCAGTAAGCGCCAGCCGAGGATCTCGCCCATAGGAGTCTCGGTGTCCTGCTTTAAGAACTGCCCGCAATACTGCTCAATGCGCTCAAGCGTATCACCTAGCTCCGCCTTCTCTAGACAGGCGCTAGCGTGGAAGATGATTAGCTGCACAACCCAGATCACACTAGACAAGCAGCTATTATAATTGCCCGGTTCCTTCCAAGTCTTAGTGTACGGCTTAACGCTGAGCATAGCACAGAAGCTGAGTAGTGGGGAGCTGTACCGATTGCTTCCAAATTCGTGGCAGATCAGCGCTATTAAGAGGACGGATATAGCATCTCTTAGCGCAGGCTAGTCCTGCTCGACAGCACTTTGGAAGGCCGCTTCCCACGCCTTCTCCTAGGCATCCGTGAGCTAGATGCAGCTCTTAGGGGTCCGCTGGTCGTCGTCTGCCGTGGTGAAGTGGCCGCCGTAATACGCCACCCGGTAGCAGTAAGTCAAAAACTGCTTCTAGTAGCCGAAGTTGGTCTTGCGCGTATTAGGCTCCTTCTTGGGGTCGAACGCGCGTAGTTTCTGCCCTGGGGCAGCAGCAGTGTGGAAGCGGCTCAGCGCTAGCTGCCGTGGCTAGGTCAGCATACAGTCGGGACCGTCGAAGCACTAGCTGTGTGCCTCTGTAAAGATCTCGTCCATGACCTCTAGCATTAAGAACAGCTCGGGCTCGTCGTCGGCATTCCTCGGCGCCAGAAAGGAGGCGTGCATCTCGTCCTTTTTCAAGCCCCGTGTGTGCTCCTCGATGCCGGTCCGTCTTAGCCACGGCACTACTGCAGATCTGTGACTATCAAAGCCGTGAACAATGTTAGCTTCTGCTTTAGCATCCTCCTCTGTAGTAACTGCGTCTTTATCTAGCTGCTTGAAGAAGTCTGCCTCCCCCGAGTCCAAGCTCTTTGTGCTAGCGTCTATGGCTCCTGTGGCCCCACTAACAACAAAATACCGAACTTAGCGATTCTCGGCAAAGAAGGTCTGGAGCTTGTACTCCCGCCATAAAGGGCTCTTCTCGTGTAACGCTAGCTTCTGCTGGTGGGCCTTCGACACGTGACGCTGCATGGCCTTGTAGTCCCTGGTGAGGTAAGCCGAGCAGGTAAGGCACTGGAAGCCGTCAAGGAGCCGTAGTCCCGAGATGACCTCTGTCGGCAGCTGCCCTGGCTCGGCCTCTGCGGCTCGCAGGACATAGCTGGCAAACAGCTCAACGAGAGCCTTCAAGGACGCTCCTCGCAGGAGATGAGGTGCCTGCCTCAGGTGTCGAACCCAGACGTCACGTCCCGGCCGGAGGCAGTAGCCACAGGACGTACAGAGCAGCACCTGCCACTCCGCCAAGTAAACAAAAGGGTCACCCATAGCCCCCGATGATCAGGTCTCCCCGCTGCTCGCTGGCAGCCGTAAAGGGGACTCCCCCAGCGCCCGGGGCATTCTGGATTTATGGTGCAGGATTTATAGTGGACTGGTCCGTGCTTGCCCCCCTGATCCAGGGTCATTTCGCCTAAGAGATTTGGATTTACGCCGCACATCCGCCGAATGCTAGGGGTAGGTTTGATTACTTTTAGTTATTTGGCTTTAAATTAGCAGTTCTCTAAGGACTTTGCGTTTGATTAGCGTCTGGTGATTAACTAAGGATTCGGTGGGCTGTCTGCAGTTAGATGTTTGTAAAACTATAGGTTGTATTTAAGCCAATCTCTAAAAGCCAGAAAAGCCTAGGTATGTATACTACTCTCTGCTAATCTGCCGGTACTCTATATGTATAGAGGCAATATAACTAAGTACTTCTTTAATTCCTCTTGTATAGATCATACTAGCTGTATTAGTAGTATGTGTAGCTTGTGCGTTATTCTAAGTTCCGGGAGCGTCTGCTCCATAGTCCTTCCGGAACTTAGCTTGCTGTAAATACCGGCGAGAGATAGTAATAGCTACGTGCCGCTAAAGAAGGATATTTGTATTAGTATTAAGATATTACTTAAACTACTGTGCGAGAACGTTCGTTAAGCGACTACTTAGCTATAGCTTGCTGTAAGTTCCCTTCTTAATCGCCTAAAGGAAGGTTGGGGCACTAGGGCTTTCGTTTTGTTACGGATCACCTGGCTAATCGCCGGTCACCTGACCTAATCGCCTGCGACAGAGGTCAGGCCGGGAATGGTGGCGTTCCCGAGCTCTAAGCCTGTTAGGGCGTAGCTTCTCACATGACATCCCTTTCCTCCTAGCGTATATATATCTAGATCTTCTCTTCTTTCATTCCTCTTCTCTTCTTTACCTTTAGATTCTAAGAGATAGCCGAATCGATACTTCGTCTACGTACTGAGCTTCCCACCGTGCTGTCACACGTTTAGAGCAAGTATACACAACTGCTCGCAGAATAGCTAAACGAGCCAGATATAGTAGACTAAGAGCTCACTTATTGCCTTAAGTAGATACTAGTGGATGATTTTGGTAAACTCTAAGACACTATAGCCCTTATGGTAGAAGGTAACAAATCCAACAAGGCTATTCTCTATAAAGATATTCCGCTGTAGCCTATGGATAGTATTACGCAGCTACAGACTAAGAAGCTTAGTTCCTTATACAGGCTAGCCCCCAAGGATGTAGATAAGGAGAAGCAATAGCTTAAGGAAGTTGTTGGCTTGCTTTAGGTATTGCTCAGCAGTCTTATGCCGCTATACGGCCTTCGCACCCTTGATTAAAAACTCCTACTATAGCCAACTCTTATCTAGCACACAATTAAGCAGCCATCGATCATATTCTTAGAGGTGGTTATTCCGCGGGTCGTCTAGGAAGCTCCAGCCGGGCTTGCTGTTAGCCGGATCGTCCTTAAGTCGGTAAAGATTAACCGGTGGAATAATATCGTCTCGCTCCTCGTCTGGATGTACACGTAGCAGCTCCTCTAAGAGTAACTACGCAGCGGTTATCTAGGTCGCCAGGAACTTCTTTAACTTAGTCATACCTAGCTTTAGGCCCTTGTAGCTAAGGTGCTCGCCGTCGTCGGTCTAGGAGATATATCCTAGAGAGGTAGTGATCTCATTGATCTACTTTCCAAAACTATATAGCTTTTATGCCTAGTTTATAGGAGAATGTGTACTATACACCATAAAGCGCTCTTGTATAACATTTAATATATTAGCTACATATAGAACCTTACCTCGATCTACTATAAGCACTACCCATTGAATAACAAGGAGCTAAGCTATCTTAATAAAGGCAGAGAGATATAGGGTATAATGTAGAGAATCGCTAAATGTGGCATTCTGATCGACCGATAATGTGACAGCACTGTGACGATGGTGTGAGGTGGCGACGCAACGTCGGGCTATTCATTTAGAATCTAAAGCTAAGGAGAGAAGAAAGGAGAGGAGGAGAGATCTATATACATATATATGTTAGAAGTAAGGGGATGTCATGTGAGGAGCTAAGCCCTAGTAGGCTTAAAGCTCGGGAACGCCACCATTCCCGGCCTGGCCTCTGTCGCAGGCGATTGGCTCAGGCGATTGGTAACAGCTGGCGCTGTGACAGATAATCTAGGATCTCTAATACTAAGAACCGCTATAAAGACGACGACGATGCTGTCGTAAATTGTGTTAAACAAAGCATAGTCTAGTAGTAAGATACATAGTTGGATTGTAGTATAATCGAGACTTTGCTAAAGCTATATTAGCGCTAGACTAGTGCTTTGCTGTTCTTAGGCAAGCTCGGCTGCAGCTTGCATTACTCAATCGAAGGCTGTTATCTGAGCGTCGGTTAGACGATAAGAGAGCTTAGGGCCTTAGTTCCGCTAGACACGCTGATAAACAAAGCTTAGTAGTTGCTTCCACACTTTCTTATACGTAGTATAGGTGCCTTCTTAAAGCTTGTAGACTAATAAGAAGTTAGTGGTCCGGCGGGTAAGGAAACTACTAACATACTACTAATCAAAGATATTAATCTGATTAGTTTGGAGCGATTTACAGGCTTGCTTGATAAGACGGTTAAAGGATTCAAGTACAAGGACGAGGTAATTATCTAGCTAATCGGGGTCGAATAAAGGATAAGGAGATGGGAGATTAAGGAGGCATATGTAAGGGGCTACGCCAAGAGGGAACACTTAAGACGTAGGCAGTGGGTAAAACTGTCGTTGAATTCGATAAAGAACTGAAAGGTAGCTAACTAAGGCTTTATATACATAGGATCAGAGGCTTCGTAGAAGCCTCGGCATAAGCTAATTACCATAAGATTAAAGTCTTAGATCGGAGATTGCAACTCGTAAAGAAAATAAGGAGGCTGGTGCTTAAGCGAGGCGTAGCCGAAGCATTATGGGGTTCAACCCTGACAGCATACTACACGACTTAAGTTATGACTATAGAAGTACCGCTCCTATTGCGTTAAGTTAAGCTATAGAGAGACCTTAGTCTTGTGGCGCGAGGTAATGTCGGATTTAGGTGCTTAGAGCTTCTAAGCAAGGGTCTGCTCCACCTGTTCTCGGAGGCTGAGGGGTGGTTTCTCAAGAGCTTCCGCAAGCTGCGCTGGTGCTAGATTAGAGCCGGGCTTACTATTATTAACAAGGAAGTAGCGAGTGTAGCCTTTTATATAAAAGGTCTAGTAAACGATAGGGAAATAGGCAGTAGTACTAAATGGAAGACGTAACTTAGCTGGCCGGTCTATAAAGCCTTTACTCTTGCTCTATTAATAGGCCTCCTTCAAATAATTGAGTAGAATCTACTCGCCTCAGATCACATATAGCTAACTGGGAGGGCACAACTTATAGTAGTAAGCGTTGTTATAGATGCGCAAATAAGAGATCGGTGGCGTGTGAGTGGGTATATGGAGCCGTTTTACTTCCCGGGGAGGCAAAAGAGAATTAGGGGTAAAGAGACGGGCATATTCCTGGATCTTACGGGGTGGGACAGCAGCCTTGTAGTGGTCGTATAAGTGCTTTGTAATAGCTGGAGAGTGGATTGCATATTTGCAGCTTATATAAATCAACACATTATAAGTTGGATTAAAAGAGAGAAGATCCATTATTAGAATTCAATGATACATAAGCTTGCTGTCCGGGCAGGAAAGCAAGAGGAAGACGCGCTGGCGTCACTCTCTCACAGGCATAAACGCGTACACGGTGGTCTGTGTAGTGAGTGAGCAGTGCTCCAGGGGGTCAAAGGGTCGGCGACCGCCTTCCCCTTCTGGCGGCGGCCGCGGGAATTGCCCATTTTCACCGAAAATGCAATGTAGTATATACCCTCGGTTAACCGCATTCGGAAAGAAATTGCCGTAGTAAACGAACATTTTTCGCTTGCGACCGTTATTTCTGGGCACTAAATAAAAAATATTCTTTCAATGATAAATATTGTAAATCGAGTGTAGAAAAACTATTACATACGCGCCCTCGTTCATAGATTAATAAATAACCAATCCCATGGAATTTGGCCCAGCTCCAGTGACTTCATACACTTGAGTCATTTGCGCTGAACCAGCCCCTCCACTGATGTCGAACACTGTCACAACCGCTGGCACCGACCCATTGTTAGCACTCAACGTCCAGATCGAAGTTCCAGCAATCTGGAAGTCCGACATCCCAACATTCTCGTTTGGAGGATAATATTGTGATAGGATGGCACCAGAGTACAAGTCTGTCTCTATCAAACGATTGACAGCGACATCGGTGATGAAACCTGTGCCGTATGGCGATATCTTGGCCCAACAGGAAGCTATTTGTCCAGGAACTACAGTCTTAGAGAGCGGAATTGTCAAGTTGTTGAGATCCAGCACCACGGCTCCAAATCCGGCATCCGAGGTATAGATTTTGGATTTCGTGTAAGGCATGAGCGTTGCGCCGAAAAGCGCCATCGTACCATTCGGAGTTGTCTTTGAACATGTGCTAGAAACCGTCCCGGTAACGTCAACTGGGTAGACAGCTGCGTAGCCAGTGAATTCCGTACCGTTACCTTTGACCATCACCACGAGAGATGATGAAGTAGCGTCGAAGAGGATATCTCCGACACCTGGAGTTGGCCCTGTTGGAGGATCGGATTGACCCACATCTAGCATCCGGAGATCATCAAATTCACCTAGTTGGTAGGTATTGAATGTGGCGCATGCCACACCAGCGGGGCTGCCCGTGTTGGCCACGCAGACTGTGCTGAGCTCAAGGGAAACAGCGAGGCTGGTTGGGAAGTTGCCGTTTGATGACTTGGGTTCACCAACAAGAGCCAAGTTTGTGGGATCGTATGGATTGATGAGGAACATTGAGACAGTGCCAGAGCCTGCATTGACATTGAAAAGGTACTGTCATGACATGCATTAGTCACATAGATCGCACTTGCAGAATTGGTTGATGCCTACCTGGCCAGCAACGACGACGGAGTCCTGAACAGATAGTGCATCTGGCTGTGATGGTTTCCCAGTCATGGTACTAATCAAATTGCCCCCTGAACCTCCTGTGCCAATGGAAGTGCCACCTGACAGCATGCCGTTGGCCGCTACATTAACAGCCAAGATCGAGTTGTTTGCATTGTTGCTCATCAAGTAAAGTGCCCTCGGTTCCGTCGAACAAGCTGGATTGTCCGGACAATGCATGGGACTTGAGGTAGCGAATTGAGTGCCGACCGTCAAGATGGCGGCAAGAACCGAGTGGAAAGACTGATGCATGGCGCTAAAGGTGAATCAACTGCTAAACTTGATGCAAGTATGCGGGATAGTGCAGACTTTTGGGCAATAAAATGATTCCAGAGTGTCAGCGAGGAAGATGACCGTGAGATGATTCCAGGGCGTCAGCTAAATAAGTATGACATGAGTTCATTCTGATCTTTTTGAGTATCACGTACACTCGAGAGAAAGGGGAAGCAGTGATTCCACATCTTGTGGAGTACGTGATCGCGCTCACTAGATCTTTCATCTGAACTTCAAGCGCTGCTGTGTCTCGCTTTGAGCTTTTTGACAATTTGTCACTACCCGTGCGCATGTTTTCGCTTGAATGAAGCAACTAGACTCACAAAGCGGGGTGTCATGTTCTGCATCCTTTATAATCATCGTGTTGGATCCGCCTATAATAAAAATTGTAGTGTGAAGTACAAAAGAGAGGGCTGGCAGGATGAATGCTCCCGTGGTTGTACATACAATAGTTCGGGAGACGAGTGAGGAACAGGCAATTGAGATTCCACATTAGCGAGCGGCATTCCATGCATGGTGACGTCGCAAGGGTCAGTCCCGCTCCCAGCGCGGCGGTACATTACACTGTCAGTAGACGGCCGACAGAGGGTGATGGCCGAGATATATCGATCGAGTAGCGGCCTTGGCCCGCTTGGTCAAGATTTACGTGAAGGAACAATGTTTATTGCGTTGAAACGGATTCATATTCGATCTCGGTGCAAAAACACACGCTTGACCCGCGGGAAGTCGTCTGCAGACTCATCAAAAAATGATATTCCCCATCAAGAGTCGAAGTATAATGAAACAGAAACTTCCAGGACACTTCCCGGCGCTGCTGTGCAGAAACCCGCTTCTGCGAAGTCGGGGAGGAAAGTTTACTCTTCCCATTTGAACTATTTCGCCTTTGCAGCGTTCTCCCCTCCTCGGCCAACTCGTCAGCTCAAGCAAATATAACCTTTCCCGTCATCCAGCTCGTTGTCAGATTTGGCGGAAGCTCTTCGCGCCATTGAGATCCCTTCAGCGGACTGTTTGCAATACTGGATGTAGTAATTTCGGTTGAGAACAAAGAGCCATCAGAATATAATTCAGCAAGCGGCAGTATACTTTCATACCTCATTTGATTCCTCATCTCAAAGCTTACCTTTCGCCTTTTCTGCTTCAGTTTCTTCTCCAACTTCCCAGATAGATCTCCTTCAATTGGGACTTTATTCTGGCAATCAGGACAATTCGCGCAATCGCCGACATCCATATTTTCGATCATATGCCGCAGCTGCTTGGATCAATCTGTCTAATTCCTGCAATCGCTCTTCAAGAACTTTCATACTGTTCATGTTATCCTTAAATTTCCTCACCGTGCTTTTGTCAGGAAGTCTCTTGTTCGGAACATCATTCAATAAGAAGGCAGGTGATAGCCCGCCCTCAATCTCAGCCCACGCCATTTCGAACACAGAACCCATACGCCGCAGTATTGGAGTGTCTAGGCGCTGGCCGAGTCCATCTTGAATCATTGCCACTTCAGAGTCTTCAGAGCCGAAGGCAAGAGTGAAGATTTTGTCGTGTAGGCCGAATTCCAACCTGTTGTGCTTGGGAAATTCTTCTAACATGTGTTTCCTCACGGCTGGGAAATTTGCTACGTCTTCATCTATGGCTCGCAAAAGAAGCGTGGCGACAACGCGGTTTGGAACTGTAATTCAACAGCGAAACAGGAGATTGATCTTCGAGATCGGTGGTAAAGTATGGTTATATGGATAGTAGAAACCAACAATGAAGCTGGAGCGTTCCCAGCTTTTGGTCTCCCAGTCGTATGCAGTGTTTCAGCAACTCGACTGGTCCTGTGCCACAAAGGTACGGCGAGTAGAGCCACAAAACCGGCATGACTAATCTTGTGAAACATCGAGGATGGTAGTTTGATTGAATCAGGTCGCACAGAAAGCAGACCAATGGCCGAGTCGCCACAGAACAAACTTTCGGCCTGTAGAATATCAAGGTATGTCACTGGCACATCCTGCAGTCCTTCGTCCTTGTCTCTCTATGTCTTCTTTGAAAAGATGTATCAAAAGTTCAGTGAAGCTTGCGAACTTGTCGGAGATAGTCATGACCTCTGTTCGATCATTCGAGTATTCCCAAGCCAGTGTTAAGTAGGTCAAACCACAGCAATCAATAGGAGGCGTATTTGATGTCGCTCGCCATCTCTTTCCAGTCAACATAGAGTGGACTGCTATTTAGAGTTAGAAAATATGTGATCAGTCGAGTTGTTGAACGATCAAGCCTTCCGATTTCTTTGCATTGCAAGCTTCGTGATATCCCTGACAAAATCTGTCGGCCCCTAGAGCTGACGCGTTGACCATTCTATCTTGAAAAGTATTCAATTCCAGTCCAGCTTTTCGGCATCTTTCAGTGAATTGCTAACGAGCCTGCTACCGTAGGTTTGTTGCGTAGACACTAACCAAGTCCCATAAGAAAGAAATGGTGGGTCGGCTCTCCACTAAGAGTTTGCGGAGTTCTCATTTTCCAAACAATGGTGAATTTGGACGTCAAGATGAAGAAGTTCAGGATGCTTCGGAAGTCCCGATCGCTGGCTAGCTCGAAACGGCCTCAGAGTTCTCCATCATGGGTGGGGTGCTGGCTAGCAAAAGACGCATCTACTTATGCTAGTCTGTTAGCCTTGCGAGTAGAAAGATATTTGTGGAAGAATCATTCAGATACACTATTATCAGTGTAGGCACCAAGGGTATACCTCAAATAATCTTACCTTTGCATCTGCTACCCGCAGCTCATGTTAACGCAGCTGCTAACAGCCTAGAATTTTCCAAGAACCGCGCCGTGGAAGCTGTGATGCATGGAAGCGAAGTCCAGAGAAGATAGAACAACTGTCCTATATAATCTAGACAAGGCGGACAAGGGAACAGGAGTTGGATCGCATTGCTTGATATGAAATCTTGATAGCTATGCCAAGGAAAGGTAGAATTTGCCAGGCGATGTGCTCACGTGCTTGCTCCCACTCAATTAAACTTTCCTTCACCTTCTCTTCACCTCAACAATGGCCATCATTGATCTTATTTATATAAATCGTCCACTTGCGTCTACCGCATCACCACGGGCAAAAAAAAAAATACAATGGAAAGGGGAAAAAGCCGCCAAAGCTAGCGTCGTCACCCTGAACACGAAAGTATCCTTCCCCTGCCCCCTCCCACGAATCACCACCGGCCGCAGCCACAGGCACCCTTTGTCGGGTGCAGGCTGTGCAGCAAAAGGCGAGAATTGCTGCACGAAGGGTCCCTGTTGCCTCTGTCGTCCCGTCCGTCTCCAGGGTCTCTTATCCTTTAGCGAGTTGCAACTTCCACTTCAGCTTGGCTGGCTGCACCTGCATTTGAGACATTGCCTTGGTCGTGAACGAAAAAAGGTCGCTACGAGCCACGTTGAGCCTGGAGCTAGGTCCACGATGCTTTGCTTGTTTTTACCGTCACCGTCACCTTCACCTACACCCAAAAGCCGGGTTTTTCTTCGCAGATAAGGATCCTTGGGTATTTCATATTCACTCGTAATCTGCAGATTGCGCCTCGCATCTTTTGCATCTTTCACATCTTTCTCTTTCTCCCATCTCCATCTTTTTCAATTCAATTGACCTCGCAGACTCTGTAATCAAGATGGCATCAATCATCTACCAAGCCCTCAATACCACCCGCGATACCGCCAACATGATCACCAACCACCCCTACTATCCCCTCGAAGTCGAGATTGCCTCCTACCTCGCGAACGAATGGTCCGTCCCAATGCTGCTGAGCATGTTCGCAGGTCTCTGCGCCCTCGTGCTGTTCGGTACCGTCTGCGTGGTGGATAAGGTACACAAGAACCTCCCAGCTCGGGAGAAGGCAGCCATCTGGTGGTTTGTTCTGTGTAAATATATCCTCACTGGCTGTGGATCTGGCTAATCCGTGCAGCTGGCGCAATCCACCTCTTTTTCGAAGGCTACTTCTCCCTCAATCATACTCGAATGGGCCCAGCACAAGATCTATTCGGGCAGCTTTGGAAGGAATATGCGCTCTCCGACAGCAGATATTTGACCTCTGACCCATTCGTCCTCTGCATGGAAACAGTCACAGCTGTAAGTACCCTCCTTCACAGATCTGCCCAGCTAACGAACAGTTCACATGGGGACCTCTCTGCTTCGTTGTCGCCTCCTTCATTACGACCTCTCACCCTCTCCGTCACCCTCTCCAGATCATTGTCTGCGTTGGCCAGATCTATGGTTTGATCCTCTACTATGCGACCAGCATGTTCGATCACTTCTACATGGGTGTAACATATTCTCGACCGGAGTTCCTGTACTTCTGGGTCTACTATTTCTTCATGAACTTCATCTGGATGGTGTTCCCTGGAAGCAAGTGCCCCTTTGTGGTGACTTGACAACTGCTAACGGTCACAGTGTTGCTGGTGAGCAGTGTCAGAAGAATTGCCAAAGCTTTCAGGGCTTTGGACAACCTCGAGGCTACATCGAAGGGCGCAAATGGAAAGGCGACCAACGGGAAGGCCAATGGACATTCCAAGAAGGATTCGTAAAGGCTGGGAACGACGATTCAACACCACGATGTCGGAGGGTTCAGTTCAACACGGATCAAATATGGGAGCTCAAGCTCAAGAGATAGGAGTGCCTCGATTCTTATATCTCGATACCCCATAGACATAGACGGCGGGAGCTGATAAATGATACCGCGAGGTCTTTCCAGCCTTTGACTGTACCATCTGTGATGCTCGAATTTGCTGATTCGGTGCAATTCCTGGCCTTCTCGGGCCAATTACTCCTCAAAGGTACAGGTATCTGCAAGCTCAGAGCCAAGTCGCAGTACGGCAGTGACAAGAAATCATCTGATATGGTCCCTGTGCCCAGCGCCAACGTTGTTTTTTATGTCTCCTGTGTCCCCATCTCGGCCGGTCATAAACTTCAATTTGCCTCGTCCCAGCTCCAGGCTACCACTCTTTGTTCGCTCGAATCGATTGAACGCGCCCGCGGCAAGGAGTAGGTCGAGTAGTCGGCAGTCCAACTCCCAATCCCAGGATCAACAGGATCGCATCAGCAGAGCCAGCCAGCCAGCTCGAGGAGCAATCCACTACATTTCTCGCAGAAGTCTGCCAGCCTTCCGTGCGCTACTGCATGATGCTCTTATGCCTTATGTGCACTTCTTCCAACGCCATTGTTACCAGCGTAGCGATCAGGACTAGAGAAGAGGTTTGGGTGAAGCTCGAACTTTGATTCGAATCGGATGGACTGTCGATGGGAATTCGCATTGTGGTGGGCATTCTTGAAGCAGGATCAAAACCTCTCTGCTGTCGCATGAAATTCGCAGAATGTGGGTGTCGGGATGCTTGTCCTACATCAGTTAAACATTCCAATGGTCTGTCGAGCAATAATCACTGCACTTGCAGATTTCTTTGCTAACGAGCAGTAAAATCACGCACGACTTAGCTCTGTGACTTGGAGTGGAAGATACGCAAAACCTCCAATTGTGCATGCGGGAAAGGTAAGATGGACAGTACCCAAAGAATATTGAATGCTGAAGTGAGGAAGAAGCGTTGAGTGGTAGGAGTTGCTGATGCAGCATCGGATGCGCCGGAATTTCGAGCAATTGTCAGCAACCCCACATCACTGCAGATACAGACACGGCAATTTTCAGGCAATTTAGAACATCCTTATACGTGCTCAATTGCTGTTTATTGTGAGAACTACGAAGGGAAGCTACTTCTTTTCCAAGTGCTGCAGTTGCATACAGAGCTACTCTCTTGTTCTTAGCTTTTTGGCCGGCTCCGGTGACAGAAACGGCAATCTCCGTCGGAGCTGTTCTCCTTCAAAATTCTTCCTTCACTCCGCTCTGCCTCGACTTCTCCCCCACAAACGCCACCAGGTGTTTTGCTTCGATATGTCTCAAATATTTTCGTTTCGAGGTGACGTACGAACACTCCCACGAAAAGACGGGATTAATCCAGACCGTGAGCAGCTCTCGGACAATCACATGTTTGCATCTTTGCACGTTTCCTCTTCGATCCTTTTAGTCCTGCAAGCTTTTTACCATGCTGCTCTTTCTTACCGTTCTCCAATCGTCCTTCATTTTGCTGTCCAAATACCCTTAAAATTTCAACCCGGAGCCGTGCTTGGAACTGGATCTTACAATAATTCATTGTGTCTCTGATACCCGGTTCCATTTTAGCGTCAAACGCATCAAACTTGTCTGGGATACCTTTTCCCCTCCATTCAATTACGTGCATTTTTTGGCTACATCACCCCCACACTCGTCTCCGCACCTCCTCGGCAAGCTGCCACGTAACCTGAGCAGAATGTCTTGAATGTTTCCCGTGACCAAAGTACAAATCTTTTCTCGTTGACGGGAGAAGACTTTTCTCGTACTTGTGGGAATCTCAAACCAGAGTTATCAGATGGCCCCGAATAACACAACTTCCAATTCACCACTCCTCGATCTCCCTCTTGAACTCCAGTATGAGATAATCAGTCACTTACCAGCCGATTTTCCCGGAAAGTTCAATCTTCGTCGAACTTGCCGATTCTTCTACAACTTGGTTCCCAAACCAACTCATCCAGAACTCTTGGTCATCGAGCGACAACCGTACTGCAAGATCCGAAATCTTTTAGCTTGCAAGTTATGTCTTCGGCTTCGACAAAGGAGCAATTTTGGGGATCTGATGCTACATCAGTATCCTGCCTGGGGCAAGACTTGTCCCGAAGACAGATTCTGCGTTGACTGTGGAGTCAAAAAGGTAGATCACTGGCCTCCACGTTATACCAAAGGCTCAGTTGTCAAAGTTATGGGAAAGACACATGTAGTGTGCTTGAAGTGCGGAAAGATTGGGGTGTGTGCCTCTACTTGCAAGCCCACAGTGAAGGGACATTGTGTAGGATGCTTCACTTTTGGTAATGTAAGCACTGCCATTGTATCCATATCATCACAATTTGCTAACGGATAGAAGATGCTTATCGGGTAAATGAGAGGCTCACAAACACTGGTCCAGGCTGTTTTGCCGCCCTCTAGTCACACCCCTACCAGGCTTTGCCAGATCAGCTGACAATAAAAACATCGAGGCATTCCTGCTGAGAAGTCCTTGGGTTAGCACTTGTGGTTCGTAATTCAAGAACGGAATCGAAACCGATCCTGTAACGGCTTTGCATCTGTCAAGCAGAATACTGTACATTGGTTCCATATTCTGGCACGATCATCAGAGGCGAGGATGTCGGATATCAGTGGGAAGGAAGAAAGAAGCCATGGATACCTGAGAACTGGCTTCTGCAAGCGGACGGAAAAGCTAGGAGATACAGGGAGAACTTGATTCCCGGGGAACTGGCCTCTAAGCTTTGATGTTTTGTAACGAGAATCCTTTGATGACGGTAGATATGGACGACGGTGATGAGATAGGCATCGTGGGAAGGTTTCTCTGGCTTTTCTGTGCAATTTGGCTCACCGGCTTTCCCCATTTCATAGATAGACTCGATGACGAAGCTTAGATGTTTTTCTCTCAATAAAAAGTGCGACTTCAGATCGTTGATTGCTGCTTGTAACACCATCGCAAAAGTTCGTCGTCTTTGACCGAGATCGTTGTGAGACCCCAGAACAGGACATTGAATTATGGCTGAAGCCACTGTCGCAGGCCGCCTTGCATATCGAATGGAAAGGCTACATTTCGTCGCACTGAATGCCTTCTCAATCTACTTGCCGCAGAGTATTTTTGGGAACAGCTTCTCCTTAAAGGCAACCTCCCTACTGAGTTGTTGTCGATACGTCAGAGTGATAATTGCACACGGATTCACCATCGCTCATTCACTGATATACCGAAACCAACCTACAAACAGAAATTTTTCTTCGCACCTCTCGGAACATTATCTGAACTTCAGACCTGCCCGCAACAAGACTCCCAAGATGCAGCTTCTTCAAACTCTTTTCGCCTTGCTCGTTCTAGCAGTAGGCGTTCTGAACATCCCAGTCAACAACATCACCATTATCGATCGCAGCATCCAGCCCCATAGCACATCTGCTCCCAAGCGGGGCCTTGCATACAAGAGTGCTAAATACGTCCAAAATTTCCAAGCGCCAGGAAGTCAAGTCTCATGGGCCTACAACTGGGCTTCCGACATGGATCCAACATACCCATCTTATCTCGAATTTGTGCCCATGTTGTGGGGTAACTCGACGGGCCATACCAGCAGCGTAAGTGCAGCACGATGTCAGTGAACTGTTTTAACCTTGGCAGTGGGTCAGCAATGTCAACAAAGCCCTCGCCAGAGGCTCCTCCCACCTTCTTGCCTTCAATGAGCCAGACAATTGTGGTGGAGGAGCTTGTATGACACCACAATCAGCAGTCGATGCTTATCGAACTTATATGAACCCCTTTGCTGGCAAAGCTTACCTGGGAGCTCCGGCCGTCTCTAATGGTCCCACAGGGCTTCCATGGCTCACTCAGTTCCTCGAACTATGCACCGGCTGCCACATCGACTTCGTCCCGATTCACTGGTATGACAAAGCCACAAATGAAGCATATTTCAAGTCGTATATCGGGCAAGCAGTAGCAGTTGCTGAATCGTTGAGACTCTCGATTACCGAGGTATGATTGTGTCTCCCTTACTAGAATATGCTGATAGATATAGTTCAACGGCGCTGGTACAGAAGCTCAACAAGAAGCTTTCTTGACGACTGTCCTCCCGTGGCTCGATTCGCAAACGTATATCCTCCAGTACGCGTGGTTCTGGTGTGATCCGACGTCCAAGATGGGGGCTTTGGTAGATTCAAGTGCCAATCCGACGAAATTGGGGAACGTGTATGCATACACTGGATTTTGATTCAGACCTCGCGATAGGATTCGTGATGTGTTCGGTGCGATCATGACAGCGTGGAGTTGAGCAGACTAAAGAATCAAAGCACATGCCATGCCGAAGAGTATGCATCCAAAGAAGAAATTTGCAATTCAACTATGCTGTCTGATCTAATCTTCGTGCTTGCAATTCTAAGACACTGTATTTAGTCATGACACCTGGACTCTCTTGTCATTTTGGCACTTGCCGATTAGCAGCCGAGACTTCGGAAGTGCATGACATCTGAACTCACTGCACACACTTCATCCCAAGTTATTCCTGACATCCAAATGTGTTTCTCACAATGGCAGATATACTGAAGAAGGTGACGAATGTCGAGACAAAGTTCGGTCTCACCACGGGCCGATCCCTGTGGCGCACGGCCATTTTCAGGCGTTTTAGACTTTGTGCCTATCGCTGTACGGACGGATGAAAACATACCTCCGTAATCATCCAAGGATCGTCTTTCTGTCTCCCCAATGACTTCGATAAGTTTTGTTTATGTTTTCACTTTCTGTTTATAGTCCTCTTCGTTTGTATATACCTACTTACTTAGCCTTTATTCAATCTTTTTCGTCTGCAGACCCTGCCGAGGTCGACCACCTCGATCAACCCCCTCGAATTTGCCCCTCCATCCGCGAACTTGGCGATTGCCTCGAATACGAAATCAAATACCCTCCTAACAAGCTTGCCATGATCTGGACATTTGGCATATTTCCTCAGTCATTCTCACAATGGCCCTCCTCGGTCAGACATGGACTTTAACCAGGAAGAATGTCCTCATCACGCTCAATCGACATGCATTCGCCACCAGTCTTCGAGCTTGGTTTTTGCCAATCGGATTCATGATCTTCCTCAGCTATGCTAGAAATCTATTCGTCCCTCCCTCAAATTACGGCATTGGCTCCCCCCATCAGATTCGCACATTGGAAGAAGGACTAGCTGCTTCGGGCGGTGGGAGAGATACAATGGCATTCGTCAACAGTGGCTTTGCTGGAGGAGATATCGATCGTGTCATCAATACCTTGGCTGAGTCTGCGAACGGAAAGAAAGTGGTACGCCTTTCAGACGAGTCCCAGCTGTTGGATACATGCAGAAGCTCTCTTCGAGGGTCAACTCCTTGTTATGGCGCGATTGTTTTCATATCTTCGCCCACAGAGGGAAGTGGAGGGCTGTGGAACTACACTCTTCGAGCAGATGGTTCGTTTGGCACGAAGATTGACGTGAACAAAGATACCAACGATGCCGAAATATACCTCCTTCCTCTTCAACGAGCCGTCGATTATGCCATTGCAGGTCTCAACACAACAATCGACGAGGCTGCAATTCCTACCTCTGTTCTCGAATATCCATATACGAGCATCACGCAAGCACAAAGAAACACAAATATTCGAGTCAACTACATGGGTGCCATAATCAATATTCTTGGGGTTGCATTTCTCATTGGAATGGTTGGAATATGCTACCATTTGACTGGCTTCATAGCCTCAGAACGAGAACTGGGCATGTCTCAGCTCATTGAGGCCATGATGCCAAATCTCCGAAGATGGCAGCCCCAGGTAGCCAGGATTCTATCATATCATCTTGCTTTTGACATGATATATGCTCCTGGGTGGATCATCATGGGCGTCGTCCTCGGTGTGGGTGTATTTGCTGCCACATCAATGGCAATTGTAATCATCTACCACCTGCTCGCTGGATTATCTCTTGCATCCTTCTCTATCCTTGGTGCCTCTTTTTTCAAGAAAGCTCAGCTCAGTGGCATTACGTTGGCCTTGGTGACTTTGCTCCTCGGAGTCGTCTCCCAAGTCATCAAGATTGGTGACTCGGGGACTGTGGCTGTGTTGTCACTGCTTTTCGTACCTTGTAATTATGTCTTCTTTATCATCTTCATGGCTAGGTACGAACGCCAAAAGTTGGCTACAGATCTAATCAGAGCTGCCCCGGACAATCGTAAGCTTATTCCCACTCTGAATTGCAATCCTTTACGTTAGAGCCTCAGAGTCGGGAGCTATTTCAAGAGTTGGCACCTGAAGGGAAGCGGTCGTTGTTTCCAAGATCTTGAGAGAATCCCAACACTCTGAGGCCTTTCTCTTGTGTCCCACAATTTACGTTGCTAATTGTTGGGCAGCATGGCGATTACCCGGGATCGTACTGTGGGTCTTTCTCATACTTCAGATCTTCGTCTATCCACTCCTTGGAGCTTTAGTGGAGAGATATCTCTATGGTACTGCTTCAAGTGGCAGATCTGTTGTGGGAAACCTTGGAGTTACGAATTCATCCGAAACAGTCAAGCTTCAGAACTTCACCAAGCATTACCAACCAAATTGGTTTCGTCGTCGATTCGCTTGGATGACCAAGACTCCTAAGGCCACTGTGGTCGCTGTCAATGATCTCACACTCGGTGCGAGAAAGGGTCAAATCTGTGTTCTTCTAGGAAGCAATGGTTCAGGGAAATCTACAACCCTAGATGCAATTGCGGGGCTGAATACCGTCACGAGTGGGACGATCACGGTCGACGGCACGGGCGGTCTTGGTATCGCTCCGCAGAAGAATGTGCTCTGGGATGAACTGACTGTCGAAGAGCACATTCGTATCTTCAATCGTCTGAAATCTACTGGACAAATGGATACAAAGGAGACTCTCCGATCTCTCATCACAGCAATTGATCTAGACAGAAAGATCAACGCCCGAGCCAAGACTCTTTCTGGCGGTCAGAAGCGGAAATTACAGCTCGGAATGATGTTCACAGGAGGTAGTGCTGTCTGCTGTGTTGATGAAGTGAGCAGTGGACTCGATCCTCTAAGTCGTCGCAAGATCTGGGACATTCTTCTTGCTGAGAGGGGTGCTCGAACAATCATCCTCACTACTCACTTTCTGGATGAAGCAGATCTTCTTGCCGACCAGATTGCAATCTTATCGAAAGGTACTCTTCGAGCCCAAGGATCGTCAGTTGAGCTCAAGAACAGATTGGGTGGCGGCTACGGAATCCATCTCCAAACTGGCCCAGGCCACGAAAATGTTCCAGACATTGAAGGAGTTACAAGGCATGTTACTTTCGGACAGACAATGTACAGTGCCACGACATCCATTCAGGCTGCACAGATTATTCGACGTCTGGAAGCAGAGAATCTAACCGATTACCAACTTTCCGGCCCCACGATCGAAGATGTATTCCTCCAATTGGCAGATGAAGTTTGCCTTGAGGATAGCAGCACAAGCACAGTCGACCGAGAGTCGCCAGTTTCAGAAAAGTCCGAGAAGCAAGTAGCAACAACAACAACTATAGCAGGATTGGATTTACACACAGGACGACCTATTGGATTCTTCCGGCAAGCATGGGTGCTTTTTAGAAAACGGTTCACTATCCTTCGCCGAAATTATCTCCCTTACACGGCAGCTCTGCTTGTCCCAATCATAGCTGCGGGTCTTGTGACGTTGTTCTTGAAGAACTTTCATGCTGTTGGGTGTGCACCTGCAGACGGCGTGTCTGTCTCGGACGTGGAGGCTCTTTACACTCAAGTTCATTATGATCTCATTGTCGGTCCATCGTCTAGCTTCTCAAACGCAACACTTGAAAGCTTGTATGCTCCATTACTTCCAATCGTTCCACCGCAAGCTACCATTCAGCGCAAATTGCATATGGTCGGTACATTAACGGATTTCAATGATTACATCACCCGGAATTTTGCCAACGTCACACCTGCAGGCTTCTTTCTTGATGGAGCACAAACCACATTGGCTTATCAAGGCAATGGAGATATATACACTGCTGTGTTCGGACAAAACATCATGGATGTTATGCTCACCAATATCAGCATTGGAACTCAATACGCTTCATTTGACATACCATGGGCACCAGGAACTGGAAAAGCATTGCAGCTTGTCGTGTATTTTGGACTGGCTATGGCTGCATACCCTGGATTCTTCTCCCTGTATCCTACTGTCGAGAGAACAAGGAATATCCGTGGACTTGAGTATTCAAACGGCGTTCGAATTCTTCCGCTCTGGTTAGCATACTTATCGTTTGACTTTTTGATCGTGGTAGTCTCAAGCGCTCTTTGCACTGCCATTTTCGCTGCGGCTTCCTCCGCGTGGTACCACGTGGGCTACTTATTCTTAATATTCATGCTCTTTGGGATGGCATCCATCTTGCTGTCATATGTTGTGTCGCTTTTTGCCAAGACTCAACTTTCAGCCTATGCTTTTGCAGCAGCTGGTCAAGCTGTCATGTTCTTAATTTACCTCATCGGCTACTTGTGCACATTGACTTACGCTGTAAGGTCTCTTTCCTCCTGAGTACTTTCGATACTGACAATATCTAGCCCGTGAATAAGATAGATTCGTATTTAATCATTGTTCACTTCACCATCTCACTCGTCACACCCATGGGAAGCCTCATCCGATCTCTCTTCCTGGCTTTGAATATCTTTTCGACGACCTGCTCTGGCAAGGAGATTGCGCCATATCCTGGTGGGATCCTGCAATATGGTGGTCCGATCCTCTATCTTATCATTCAAGTCTTCGTCCTCTTCGCCATTCTCCTGTGGTACGACTCTGGTTCTGTTCTAGCCTGGTATCGTCGAATCAGAAAGATCGCCCCAATCAATGAACAAGCTCTTGTAGTCGACGAGGAAGTAGCAGAAGAGCTTCTCCGAGTCACTAGCTCCAACGATGGACTGCGAGTTCTTCACCTTACGAAGATTTTTGGGCACGTTCTTGCTGTGGATAATCTGACATTTGGTATCAAGCGCGGGGAGGTGTTTGCTTTATTAGGGCCCAATGGAGCAGGAAAGTCAACGACCATTTCTTTGATCAGAGGAGACATTCAACCTTCCAAGAATGGTGGGAGCATCTTCGTCGAAAATATCGACATTTCTCGCCATCGAGCCCAAGCACGTTCTCACCTCGGAGTCTGTCCTCAGTATGATGCTATGGATCAGATGACAGTTGTGGAGCACTTGCGCTTCTATGCTCGTGTTCGTGGGGTTTCAGATATTGAGCATAATGTTCGAGAAGTTATCAAAGCTGTCGGGTTACAGGCTTTTTCCTCTCGAATGGCCGCAAAGCTATCTGGCGGCAATAAACGCAAATTGTCTCTTGGAATAGCTCTCATCGGAAACCCCACCGTACTACTTCTCGATGAGCCAAGTTCCGGCATGGATGCTGCTGCCAAGAGAGTTATGTGGAAAACACTTGCTGCCATTGTACCAGGACGAAGCCTGTTGTTGACCACGCACAGCATGGAAGAGGCAGATGCGCTAGCAGATCGTGCCGGCATAATGGCGAAAAGGATGTTGGCTCTGGGCACGAGTGACTATCTAAGGAAGAAACACGGCAACGCCTACTATGTTCATCTGGTGATGAAATCGGCTCCTCACACAACAGAAACGGAGATCCAGGCCATTCGCAGCTGGGTTTTGAAAGAGTTTCCTGGGGCAGTCATTGAAGACAAGACGTATCACGGACAAATTCGCTTTTCGGTTCCAGCTCAAGAGGACGAGAATAAAGTGAAGGTGATTGAGGTCACCGAGGATGTGATTACAGGAGGGAAGGAGATCAAAGGTCCTGATGGAGTTGGGTCATTGATCATGATTCTTGAAGATTACAGAGAGAAACTTGGACTCGAACATTACTCTGTCAGTCCCACAACACTAGATCAGGTCTTTCTGTCCATTGTGCAGAAGCATGATGTCGAAGAGGAAGGATACTCGAGGCCGAAGGGAGACAACCATTGGTTGAAAGATTTCAGAAATTTCATGAAACGATGAAGGGAATTGTATTTATGTGAGGTACATGTGATAATGTTTATCCTTTGCAGCTAGATGTGGTAATGACGACATCCGAGCCTTTGAGCTCTCTTATATATGTCCAACATGCAAGATTCAGGGTATGTAGATGGCAATGAGAAGCCGTTCACTGGCTATAGGACGAGAGCGCAAAGTGGTTGAGACTTGATCAGCACCTAGCTCTATGTGGTTTACATTGAAAATGAACCGTGCAACCTAACATGCAAGATAAATGTGACTCCGGAAGTCAAAGCAAAGCTGCATAGTCAGCTGGTTTTGTCTGCATATACAGCTGCTCCAGTGATACTGGCTTTATCATAGTTAGAAATATTAGGCAAGTATCTAATAGTAGAGCTAGTTCCTGGCTCGACTTCTGCTGCCGCCGCCACCAACTTATTAAGTGGATCAAAATCACTATGTCGACCTCGTCGACTTCCACCTCACGACCGTCTACGACCTAATCTCTTGCCGAAAGAGAACCCATCTGCTGTTACTGGCAGCGGAGTCTTAGCCAATGAATTTGTGGTTTTGTGCCTTGCTGCCACTACAAGACTCAAAGGTCTGAATTAAGGATCCATGGAGAGCGTCTTCTGTTGTTCGATGCTGATCATATGCTTTTGATGTCGAAGGAGGGACGACCCCACGCGGCTGCTTTGGCGTTTTTGATAGCCAAAGTTCAGCTAGCGAGATTTCGAGAGAACTGAGAGTACTGATTGATGAACTGCATGTTCGAAACTAGACTACTGAATCAAAGCTAAGGCTTCCTTTCGATTGTGCTTCCTTGGCACATCAATTTTGCTCTTGATCAGCCATTGTGGAATAGCCGCACGTTGATCAATATCAGATTCAAACTACTTCAAAAGCAAGTTGCCAGATCATCATTCTAAATGCCTTTCCTTTCCACAGTTCTTCTGCGAGTAATGAGTCACCTCACATTGGACTTCCAAGCTGAAAGATAATTTAGTCTGTCACTCGAAATTGACATTGTCCCTCCCCTCTAAAGACTTTTGTCTGGGATGAATCTATGAAAAGGAACCCTCACTTTTGGGAGCATGGAATATGAGACCACAGGTCAGTTCTTGAGACAATCACAGGGCAGTTTGAGCTAGACTTTATAAAGTCTAATACAGTACAAAGACACCGCTTCATGGACTTACTCTTGCTTGTAATCTTTCTTGGCCCATCTTGGGTAATGGCTTGAAGATGCTGCCAAGACTTGGCCATCCGAAGCTGATCTGAAGATGCTAAAGCTGATTATAGGAATCTGGGTTGATAGGCTTCATCAAGAAGCGAAGCTCACGGTTACATGTGCTGTGTACACATATAATACACCTAGGTCTCTTCAAATCTATCCCTTCTTAAGACAAGGCTTCATACATTACAATATCCCTTGTGAATGGAACAGTGAATACTTAGAACCAGGCGAGCTTACCTCGTCCTCAGATTCACTCTTTTCTCCGTGTAAAGGGACCGTCAGACCACTCAGCCTTCCCTTCACTAAACTACCCAGCCATAAACTACATTCACCCACAACTTTCTAAACACAACTTCAAGACTTAACATATCAACTTCTCTTCAAGTAACACCACAACGGACACACAATACATTTATCAAAATACCTTCTTGCTACCAACAATGGCCTTCAGCATCACGTATCTCCTCGCTATCACCTTCGCCTTCGTCTCCCTGGTACAGATCTCACTCAAAGCCGGCAGTATATCCACTCCTACTGACAGCTTCTAGTCTCTCACTGCCAGTATTCCGGGTCTTAAGGCAACCACTGATCCTGCCATCTTCTCAGGTTATGGTTCCAATTATACCTCAGGAAAGATGACATTCAACGGCACAATTCACGGCGTTGACTTCGAAATGAATGGCACTGCACAGGTACTCGCCATCGACACCTTATTTCCACATAAATAAAGCTGAAATGAGTAAAGGAAATATACGCTCGGTTCACAGCTTCATATCCTGAGATCGTTGCTCTGCATCCCCCGGAGAAGCAAAACGACACATATGCAGCCTTTGACAACAATCCTGTCAATCTTGACAAGCGAAGCAAGATGCTACCACCTTTGTGCATCCCAGTTGCTGGCCAAAATTGGCAATGGACCCTGTATTCGCCGATTGATGCTGGCATTAAGTATCTCAAGAACCTTCAGGGTGGGTGCGCGGTTGGGGCAAGAAGCTGTGTCCGAATCAGCTGCTCTTACAACGGGGCCATCTATCTGTGCAATGATGTAAGCCTCTCCAGCATATCATCGTGTATCAAGCTGACTGTGGAACTCAATCAGAACAATTACGCTATCGCCCCAAGTTGTTACTACCTCGCAACATATGCGGAAGATATATCTCGTGATTGCTGGATCCGTTGGCACTGGAAGGCATATGTCGGAGGGCAGGAATTCGATACGGATAACTATAATGTGGTAGTAAGGCTGGACGTTGATGGGAAGCAGACGCGCGAAGCAGAATAAGCAGTATCTAACGACAACGCATGAACAAACGGAGAACAAGTATGTAAATAGTAGTGTGACAAATTTGTGCTTTTATTCACTATAAGACTAAAAAGCTTAGCTATTTTCCATCCTATGCTCATTCTTTGCTAATTTAATTCACTCACCTAGCCTTACTACTCTCCAAACCGTTCTCCGCGGCTAGTGAATCTATAAATTCACCTTTTTCGGTCCTTTGCTCTCCGTTTTCCACTCTCCGCCCTCCAATCACCTCCCTCGGCCCCCGTCCTCCGTCTCTTCTATATAAACTCCCCTCTAGCTTCTCTATAATTCGCACAAAAACGTTCTTTAAACAAGAAGAACGTAGGAACGGATGGCGGTAGTGTTTAAAGTATCATCCTGGCCGCGGCTTTAGTTATGTAGAGCTAGTGTAGTTTGTTATACTAAGCTTTTTCCGTAGCGTTATTTGCTATAAAAAGTTGTAGGGTATTGTTATTGTTAATTAAATTGTTATTATTAATTAAGTTATGATTGTCAATTAAATTATTATTGTTAATTAAATTGTTATTGTTAATTAACATTTAGTCTTTGGGCTGCAGTCTCTTTATTGACGGCTCTGGACATAGGCCGTGTGGTATGGCTATTCTCCATTCGCCTCTGGGAGCGGTCTTCTAGCAGGCAATTGATCGCATGGAATTCCACTTGTTTGCTATGCAGTCTTCGGTGACAGTGAAGACGACAAATTTTATGCAGATAGAGGTTTCGAGAGCAGAGTACATACATGGCAGCAAAGGCGACAAACCTTGAGCAGATTCAGAATTGGAGAGCAAGCATCAAAATTCGCGAGCATGACAGACAGACAAGGTGAAGATGCAAGGGAGCCGTAATAATTAAAACTTCGCCCCAGATCCTAAAAGCGACCATTGCGGCTACAGACTCGGACTCTCAAGTCAAGGTTTTAATTGTGGGCGCAATTGAACATTGTTGCCCAATCGCAACCTTAAAAAAAACTTCGCGTCTTCCATCTTCGTTCAACCCCACCACCACAATTCAACCGCAATGCCTCTCGATACCTCAACGTACTCCCTCGCACTTCTCCGCCTCGATGGCCGACGATGGAACGAACTTCGACGTCTCAATGCGCAAATGCGAACCCAAGCCGCAGCAGACGGTTCCTCATACCTGGAAATGGGCAATACTAAGGTGATCTGCACCGTGACGGGACCTGCAGAGCCAAAAGGCGGAAGACAGGGGGGAAGCGGCGAGAAGGCGGACATACAGGTATCGATATCTATTGCTGGATTCAGTGGTGTGGACAGGAAGAAAACGGGCAGGAATGATAAGTACGGATCTTTTCTAAGCTGAATGGCGGGGAATTGAAGCTAATCTGTTTGACAGGAGAGTCTCAGAGATGCAAAACACGATCACGGAAGCATTCTCCCAGTCACTATTTACGAATCTATATCCACACAGCACGATCTCCCTCTCTATCCACGTCCTCTCTCAAGACGGCGCTCTTCTCTCTGCATGTATCAATGCTTCCACTCTCGCCTTGATCGATGCCGGAATTCCAATGCGAGACTACATCTGTGCCTGTACAGCTGGCTCTACATCAAGCTACGGCAGCAATGACGAACAAGCAGACCCGTTGTTAGATTTGAATAATGTAGAGGAGCAGGAATTGCCTTTCTTAACGGTTGCTACATTGGGCGCGAGTGATGCTGTGAGTGTCTTAGTCATGGAGACCAGAGTTCAAGGGGGAAGACTAGAAGGCATGCTTGCTGTGGGTGTTGATGGATGTAAGCAAATCAGAGAGATCCTGGATCAGGTCGTGAAGGAGAGAGGGAAGAAGATCTTGGATGGGAGTCAACTATAGCATGATCACGCATTACGGCAATGGAGCATGATACCCTGGAGTTATGGTATTGATATCAGGCAAGGAAAAGTTTGAGGAAAATTCATTCGCAAAATGCCCGCTAATATACATCCGAAAGACCTGTCACCAAGTCACATCCACACGGTTCGCCCTTCAAAGTTCATCGTGATCATCAATAGGCTTTTGCTCCGTCTTCTCCTCGACCTTAACTTCTTCCACAACAATAGGCTCCTCAGACGGGGCTGGTGTCTTGGATGAGGTCGATTCTTCCTCTGTTGTTGTCTCTTCTGGTTCTTCGGGGATTAAACCCTCTGGCAACTTCTGCTTCGCACCCTCTCCCAATCTAATGCTGTCAACCCAGTTCTCAATTGCCTCCTCAGTCACGTCCTTGTCAGAGATTTTGTCTCCAGTGACTGGAATCGTTCTCCACCAGCCTCGACGACCATTGACAGCAATGATAGCCATATCTGACAATGCCAATGCGTCCTTAATCTGCTTGTACCCTGTATTCTTTTCAGGAAGGACGTAGAATGGGAATAGCTTTCGCTGGTGCTGCTTATGTCTATGAGCAATCTCAGAAAGCGATCCAACGGCTGTAGCAGCGATCTCATCAGGAGTTGAGGGAAGAAGAGCCAAAATGCAAGTGCCGGTACGAGAACCCAGACATTCAGCCTCAAGTTCGGTCTCTGTTTCCAAAATACCGATTGCTGGAGCGGGGACTGGAAGGTCAACTGGCTTCTCAGTCTCGACCTCAGGTGACGGGGATTCGGTAGCTTCCTCAACCAACGTCTCATCGGTAGCCGTTGCTTTATTAGTCTTACCCTCCTCTGAAGCGTGTGTTTTGGAAGCTTCCTCGAAGGATTCCTTGGCTTTGGCTTTAGACTTCTTCGAGTCCTTTGATTTGGGAAGCTTGACCTTCGCTGGAGCAGGATCGGGGTTAGGCGATGCTGCTTGTGACAAGAAAGCCACCATAGGGTCCTTCTTCATTTCTCCATCGTAGACAATTCCTTCGGCCTCCTTGCCTCCTGGAAGCAGAATAAGCGTAGGGAACTTGCTGACGCCGAAGAGTTCCAGAGAAGCCTTCTCCTTGTCCGTATTTCTGATTTGTGCTACACTGATGCTCCCCTTGAAGTCGATTGCAATGCTCTTCAGCAATGCACTTGTTTTTCCCTTGTCCGTGAACAGAATAGCCTTCGCCGTTTCGTTGGCCTCTTCCAACCAAGCCTCCAAATTCTTGTCCTCCACTCTCTTGACATGGTTCGGGATTTTGTCGATGACGGCATCCACGATTCCTTTCGCAGTTCGTTCTCCATTGTAGTCTTCGACTATCGGCTTCCCAGGGGTCTTGCCAGGCTTGACAATCTTCAATGTGGGGAATCCTTTCACGCCCATGCCTCCACAGAAAGCCTTGTTCGATTCGTCATCACAGTCGAATGCTGCTACCTTGGCAAGCCCCAGGAGGTTTATGGCAGCTTTTTCGTATGCAGGTTGGAGATTCTTGCAGTGTCCGCACCATGGAGCGTAGAACTCGACGATCTGCGGGGTCAGTACTAACGTCGACAGGCAGCGTATGAAGACTTACAGAGGTATAATTGGATTGGGCAATGAGGCGGTCATAACTCTTTGCGTCAACTTGAACAACTTTGGAGCTCTTGGGATAGAGACCAGCATTGACAGGCAGAGCTGCAAGAAGAGCGGCAACAATAGCTGTGGTGTAGACCATTTTGGAGTTACTCGACTACTGATGAAGCTGTAGCAGCTGAAGAGGGAATCAATTCATGAAGTGGAAAGAAGGTAATGAATAGCAGGAGTGACCCGATATCACTATGCAACTGCTTACTATTCTCTTCGTGTTGACAAACTGTCCTGATGTTCTGGGGAAAAGGCCACCGTCGCGTGTTTGTCAGAAATCCGGGGTAAAAGCTAAGGGCGACAGGGGTAAGCTTCGAGGTACAAGTGGGGTTGCTTTCCTAATCCGGCTATTGTTTGAAAATGGCTGCTTTAGGCGATTATTGATTCCGAGTCCACTCTTGGACAACCAAGCCGACCTCAAATCGACATCTCTCGATTGAACATCACCCCGCGCCTGCGAGCTGCGTGCGCGTCATAGGCAACAGCAACATTATATCTTGGTGTGCAGCGTCTCCTCATTGATGCGACAGGAGATATGGCGGCGAATATTCCAGCCAAATTGAAGGCTGCAGACCTCACACGATTCATCGTCAGAGCTTCCCAGCTAGAGGCTGTCAAGCCCGTCGTAGCATACTGGTGTAAGTTGCGAACGTCGCATATGATACAAAAGCTGATTTTCAGGCGAATATTGGATTGTCAACCAGATCCTCGCAAAAGGACTACATAATGGCGACCCAGAAACCCTTCAGTACACGACAACATTGATGGACAAGCTCGAGCTGGTAGGCCACTCCTCCTCGAAGCTGTTTGGGGAGATGCTGAAACTCTCTAGATCAAAGCCGAGAATGCGACCAACGATGCGATCGTGGATGATGCAGCCGGACAGGCATATGTGGAGCACTTTGGATTGGAGACATTCTTCAGAGCTGACAGGGCTGTGAAGGCGAATGTGGTCACAAAGTATGGCATTTAATCTTTGAGGGAAGGCTTTCTAACACTTGCAGGCAAACAGCAGATACGTTTCAAGCTGCAGCTACCTTTCTCGAGCTCGTCAACATATGGGGAACGCCAGACGCAGAGACACAATCCAAGATCAAGTATGCGAAATGGAATGCAGTCAGGATAGTGCGGGCTATCAGAGAAGGGAAAGACCCCAACGAAAGCAATCCAAAACCAGATCCTGTTCAAGAAGAGGTTCTGCCAGAGCTCGATCCGAATGATCCAGAAGTTCAGCAACTCGAAGGCCCTTCGAAACCACAACCAGCATCTGTGGAGGATGTGCCAGACGAGCAGGACAAAGTCGAAGCACGAATTGCGAGGCAGTCCTCGATTGATCAGTCGCTACATCCATCTGCAGAGGTGTCAGCTCGAGGGTCTCCTGGTAACTTCGAACCATATCCTCGAGACGGATTTCCATACACAGCTGTCCAGGACGACAATGTATCCCCACTGGAACCTTCACCGAATGAGAGAACTGGATCTGTTGGAGGTGGATATTTCCCCGAAGTGCCCACATTTACCTCGCAGAACCAGGAACCTACATTGCCGACAGCGCCTCCTGACGTCTTAAATCTCCCCCAGCAACCATCAGCTCCCCCAGGGTTTAGAGCGCCTGAAGACTTTGAATCCTTTCCACCTCCTACACTTCCAGATGATCCGCCGATGCCACCTCAAGACTTCTACCGACAGTCGCCACCTGCTCAGCAGCCACATGTACCCCCACCACAAGTCACAGCGTATACCCCTCCTGTTCAACAGTCGCCATACCAACCTCCTCACCAGCAGCCTCCTCCACAATTTCAGCCTCCACCGCAACAATATCAACCGCCCCCACAACAGTATCAGCCTCCTCCGCAGCGCCATATACCTGCCCCTGCACCAGCTCAAGCTCCTGCACCTATTCGCAAAGACCAACTAATCACAGATGATATGTCTATAGCGAAGGCTCAGAAGCATGCGAGGTGGGCCATATCAGCTTTGAATTTTGAAGACGCCGAGACGGCAGTCAAAGAACTAAGGGCAGCGTTGCAGACTCTAGGAGCTTCATAGGTGATATGAGTGTACTTATATTTGTAACTACAAGATGCGAATACCCTCGAGTGTACACTGCTTCTGCCCGTACCTCGTCACTAATGCAATTTGCCTTTGTATTCTGTGTGTTTATGTGTCACTGTCAAGTTAGAGGAAGGATTGAAAAGATGGTCGCATCAGCCAGTTCATCATAATTCACCATATTTTTGTTTCGGTATGCAATTTTGTACTTCACTTTTCTCCTCGGAAAATATGGTACCATATGGTAGTCTGGGATTATGTTCAGTGACCTATGGTTTGCTTATATTATTCGACTTCCAAGTGCGCATAATGTGCTATCCTTGTCCAACGAGCAGTACTCGTCATTTGCGAAGTCTTTTGAAGAAAGTACCTCCGCTTCTGGATTTTCTTTATTCAGGCAAGCATTGTTCACTTCACATCCAGTGATACAGGACCCAAAGTACGAAGTCTTTGTGACCATCTTGTACAACACAAGATGTAGGCTCAAATTAATGACATTGAAACCATCCGTGTCCTTCACTACCGCGAAGCTACCTCATAACCTCATCCAAGCTGCAGCTGTGAAAAGTCGGAAGTGAGTCACTTCTGATTGGTTGAGTTGTTTGCGTCTGTCAATCCATACAGAGGCGCAAAAGGATCATCCGTTGAGTTCGGATGCCTTTCGTACTCCATGTAATTGGCAACGCTCGTCGCCGTTGTATTTCCGTAAACAGTATCAATAAAAGCCATCGTCACATCAATTCCAGCGGAAACACCTGATGAGGTGACTGCATTCGCATCAGTAAAGATTCTGGCCAGATATCTGGAAACACTTACAAACATTTCCATCCTGCACCCACCTTGCTTGTGCTACCCACCTTACTTTTGGGCCCCACGCTGTTGTACTTACCCAGGCTTTCTTGTTAGTTGTAGCATGCTTGCCATCCAGCACGCCAGCTCTTGCAGCAAGTCCAGCACCAGTACAGACTGTAATCAGATACTTGAGCTTCGGGAACCTCTCTTTTATGAACGCAATCAGAGATTCTAATTGAGCAGACGGTGCTCGAGTCCCAAGACCTCCCGGGACAAGAAGGACGTCGAGGTCTGGCGCAGTGTCGAAGGTATGTGTGGGAACAATCGACTCCCCAAAAGTGGAGTTGAAGAGGTTCATAGCTGCGGATTGTGGTTTGGAGGTTACAGGGTCGAGGGTTTTGGCTATTAGAGTGAGGTTGAGCTGGTATGACAAGGAAAGCGCGTTGAACGCCTCGAGGGGGCCGAAAACGTCAAGGACTTCAAAGCCTGGGAAGATGACCACACCGTAGCGTGTGGGAGCTAGTTTTTGGTCAGAATGCTTGCTTTGGTTGGGCGGGCTATAGAGATGGTACTTGATGCATTTTGACATTGCCCGAGAGTCATAAAGAGCAGAGGGCACATAAACCTCAGAAAAACCTTGAAGTATTGCATCTTTCCTTCTTCAATTGCGGCGTGAATGTACGCTCCAACTTTTGCTGCCACGTCGAGCATATTTATACTCTTGCATATGGTGGTCCTCCAATGTTCCTCGTCACTTGACCGGATATTGCAGAATAAGCACAATAAAAGAGTCTGTAGATGAGATGCCGTTGAATAGCCGGGAGCGTTCTTTTCGGAAGTTTGGTGGATGTTTCATACCACGTGATTTGTAGCCGGAAGTTGAATTAGATTGCAATGGGTGCATTAACAACAGGATAAATGTCTAGGATGGTGTCCACACCCATTTCGAAAGATTTCTACATTGGCCGAAGTAGCGGAAGGAATGAGCCTACTTCTCTAGTTGAGAAAGAAAAAGATTGAGCACCTTGGCAAAATTTAGTCGAGAACGAAAGAGAAAATTTGACTTAAATTCCAAATAGAAGAGGGGATCTCTCCTCAAATATATGATTTGCGTGAAGCGGACGGAAGAATAGATGCCCGACTTACAGGATGCTCACGGTGCTCACGTCTGTGTTCAAATACGGAATTAATTTGCATTGCTCGTGGACAAGCCGCGACCAGAACGCCTCTCGCTGCAATAATTACCTACATGAAAAACACCCAAAACTTCGGAATGCACCATTCTAGGCCCAAACTGCTACCGTTCCCGTTGAAGTCCAGTCGAGAAGATCATCGCTGACTTGCCATGATTGTATAGAGTCATTTCCCGACGACTTCACAACAGCAAATGCACTTCCGATAGCGGTCACAGCTATCGAATCATACTCCTTAACGTTCACGCTTGAATTGGCCATTGGTGAAGGATGATTGTACTGGTCTAGCCAGTCGTTGATATTTCCAGACCACGTATTAACTTCAATGCCAGTGGTTGAGAGCTGCAACATTTGAATCCATGACTCAAATCCTGAGGTCACATTCGTGTAGGACGAAGCTGCAGCAAGTGGCGTGCCTGCAACGCCAACATTATACACCTGTTCAGTGTCCGACCAGCCATCGACTGACATTGTCAGTTGTATTTGCAGATTAGGATCGTCAACTTACCTCCAGTATTCGAAAGAGTCGGATCCCAACTCCCGAGGGTGATGTTGAGATCCGATGTTTGGTGATATAGGTTGATTTGATCTTGCGAACCTGCACGATAGAAAGGTTGTAAAGCCAGTCCTGTTCCAGTATATGCATCAAATTTGAGTTGTGTCAAAGTCCAACCAGAAGAGGTCAAATTGGCGACCTGGACAAAGCCATTGATATCTTGATAGGCCACGATAGTTGTATTAGCACAGCGACGGCATTGATTGTACGTCGCGGACAGGCTGGAATTGGGGTGTGTTATGTAGTTGCTCCCTGAAATGGTGCCTGAGTTCCATTCGTTCGTGGTCGAGTTATAGATTATGTCTTGCAGCAGGTAGTTGTTGTCGGTATAGTAAACACTGATTTCCTGCGGGTTGTTAGGCAGGCTCGGGGATATTGAGGGAAAACCTACAAGAGGGAAACCGGGTCTTGAAACTGCAGCAGCCAAAGAGCTGTCAAGTTTCTCTGGATGCCCGATCGAAGTAAAACCCCATGTCGTGTTACTTGCCGAGTTGGCAGCTTCCACGAGTGTTCCGTCATTCGCTTGATAATAAACTCGGGTGTTGTTAATATCGTTAGATGGAAATGCCACAGCAGCAATCTGATGTTGTAAAGTAGCATTGCTCGATGGCGTAGAACTTGGAGTAGATGTTGACGACTTGCTGCTTTTCCTAGACCCAAGCACTCCACCAAGAACAGCTGCGAGAACCACAATCAGGCATATGGCACCTCCGATCCATAGCCATTTACGGTTCCTTCCATTTGGTTGTTTGTCGTAGATAGGTGGTTCATGATATTGCACTTCCGTTGGATACTTTTGGACCGGAGTGGTTTCGATGCCATCGCTGTATGGGACGACAGGTACAACATATTTTCCTGCTTCTTCTGTTACCACCTGTTTGCCAGAGTCCGTTGGAAGCGGTTTGCCCTGCCGAAATGGCTCGTATCCTGGATTGACGGCCTCCAAAGTACTGAAGTTGGCATCAGCCATTTTGAGAGATCAAAGACGCAAACATTTCAAAGGGACAGTAGGGCTGACTATTATTAATAAGGGGACTCGCAGTGCCATGGGTCCCATGCCATGCGTTTCAGAAGTAGGTTTGTTTGAGCCAACAAGAGACGTTCCTGAACTCATGGTGGGTTGTGGGGGCCAGAATGCGGAGATAAACATCAAGGAAAAGGAAAGAATAGCACAGCTACTGCAGACCCTTGGGTATTGAGAGGCGCAGGCTGTCCGATTGTGGAAAAGCGGACCCGACTTGGCTGTGTACGAAGAATGGCACCTACTTGGGTTCAGAGCCTCATCATCCTCAATATATGAATTGAGGCGTACTGCGCATGCAAAGTTGTGGCGTAGGGATTAAAATAGCGATTAATGACACGGAAGGCCTTCGAGACCAACGCAAGCTTTTGTCATCGGAAATAGCTTCAATCTGACATGTCAAGCGCCAAGTGACACTATCATGGTGGAGCCGTGCTGCATTCTTCTTTGGGGTAGGATCCACTTTTTGGCTGTTCAAGAACTGTCCTTCACTCTATGTCCCGAATTTCCGACGGGAAAACCAGGTGTTGGAAGCGTCCTAGTAGCGTTCGCGAAAGCGCTTGCTTCGAATGGAGGACACATCGCTTTGAAGTGTTGCCTGCCGCCTTGCGAAATACTTTCGTCCTTGTAAGAACGGCAACGCCATGGAGTGTTTCGTAAGGAAGGTGTTTGGGAATGTTTGCGAACTTTAGATGTGCAATTCGGAGCAGTCTCAAAAGGGCATCGGCTCTATCTTCGGTGAAATCGAGGACATAATCAAAGTCGGGAGAAGGTTTCTCCTTGCTGGGCGGTGGGATACCTGAAGTGTCGAGGGTCTCAGGCAGGCGAGGAAATAGAGGGAAAACGAACTTCTTCAGAATCTCGAAGTCAGTAAGCCTCAATTGTATATTTTGTTGATGTGCAATGGAGTGCATAGGAAAATGCCGACTGCAGAGTATGACGCCCGAGACAGCAAGGAATAGGAATATGCTCCTAGAATTTGAGACTTACAGACTGCGCTAGCGAAGGATAGGGTGTGTGAGGAGACCTCAAAATCGATTTGCTCGCTGTTCAGAGTTGCCTGTGCCTTAATATCACCGCCGTCGAATTGGAAAGACTTTCTTTCGACATGCATAGTGTTGGTTGTTTTATGCAAAGGATACCTACTTCAAGTGTGGTGAAATAACGGTTATGGAAGACGGGAGACGCGTGACGCCACTAGACGCACCAGGACACGACGCGTCTGCTTAGTAATGCATTGGTCATTGACCTAGGTTATACGTTTATCTAAACGTCCTCAAGCTTGGTGAAGGACATAGAATCATAAGCTCATGGGCTTGACCTTTCACATACAATCATACATGAAAGTTTGAACTGTATCACTCTTTTCCTAGGATGTCAAAATCAGCACTAAAGTCTATTGCTATCATCTCCATACTGCATCATTGTGTGAATGCATGGCTTGAACGACAGGACAGGTAAGCAAGAGAAAGCAACCACTATGAAAGCACCCACTCTAACGCCACGCTGATTGTAAAACTCCCTAATCAATCCCGCCTTGTATCTCGCCCTAACGACAAACAACCAAATCCATTCGCATTCCGCTTTCAAGGGAGCGATAGCACATGGTTCACAAACTTGGGGTAAGTAGGACGTCTCGTGGCATAGCTGTGCACGGTGTTCCAACCCCTGATTGTGTAGTCGGGTGTTCCACGAAATCTTCGGTGCAAGGCCTCAGTAACAGCCTGAAAATCTCGGACCTCGAGACGACGGTTCGTCAACAACATACCCAACCATATCAACTCGTCCAGGTATCTACAGACAGATCAGTAACAGTTTTGACAGAGATCTGGGAGCCGAGGAGCTTATCCGAAGAATTGAGACACATCTCCTTTGATAAGCGGTTCCCAAGCATGATCTCGATTATCTCGGCTCCTAGATGGGATATAAAAAAAGGGCAGAATTTGACATACTGAGTGTGTTCGTTGGTCCATCTAGCCCTCATGCGCTTGCCATTGACAATGCGAACAACTGGATTGGATTGAGAAGGGGTGATGACTTGAATACCCGCCTGCTGAGATGCTGGTATGTCGAATAGATATGGCAACTTCTTCGCCGTCGTGACTCGAGCGCGGGCGGGCATGGCTCTGTTAGTTGGACCAGTCGAGAAACCACGATTTGCAGGGAAATGTTGGTTGGCGAGTCGTGGTGGTGGTGCGGCCTGAAGGGGTTGCGGCTGAGGTTGCAGTACCTGAGCTTGTTGAAGTGCGACGTCTTTCTCGACAGTTCGCAAAACCGAGTCTTCGATCTCGTGAGGAGGGGTTGATTCTAGGAAGTAGAGAACACCACCGAACACCTGAGATAGTCAGTAAGATCAATCTTCAACAAAGCAATGGGCTACATACCACTTGCTGGGGTCCATATCCTGCGGGTTCGGGCAAGTCCTCGCTCGTATCATCTTCGTCGAACGGAACTACTTCCACCAGCTCGATGGTGAGGATGAATGGCTTTATGCCTGATCTGGAATATTCACGGCCTTCATAGACCTACAAGGTGTTAGCAGAGGCTTCTTGGAAAGACATTTCTGCGAAGGTGATGTGCTTTCGATCTGAGGAGCTTGGGTGCGCTTGATAAGAGGAGCCGGAAAGCTGCTGGGGAAAACATTGGTTTTTGCCATCTTGATTGTACTTACCAGGGTTGCGGGCAAGGTAAGTGAATTCTGCGCCATCTTTCTGCTTTGTTCTTCTGAAGAAATGCTGTTGGCAGAGGTTGTAGGAGACGGTTAGAAGAGTGGTCGGAAGAGACTTTTGGGGGGCTTAGGTGGTGGAAGATATGGAGGAAGTGTCTAGCTAGCGGCCGGCTTGTATCGCTTGCGTTGAGGGTGAAGGTTTTCCCGAAAGTCTCTCTTGATTGGCCCGAACACTCTACCAGAGTTGTTTTTAGCTTAGCATACTCTGCGGCTACTCTTTGGCTATCAAAGGAGTCAGGTTGTAGCCGACTATCGATAAATAAGTCGGCTCAACTTTAGACTAGTCGACGAGCAGCCATGGCTTGTGTATCAGGTTCTAGTAAATGTTTAGTCGTACGTTTTGATCATACGTTTATGACTTTAAATATTTCTATGTAATGGTGAATCCTTAGTAAGTACTTGTATGTATATAGCGAGCTGTTCACCTTTCAAATTATGAATGCTAATTGGTCATTCACAATCGGCGTTGTATTGAATTCCAATCTGGTCTGGTTTACAACACGACACTGGATTTACAGGTCCCATGCTTGGAAGCAGACTCATGCTACACTTGCCTCAAAGGTCTTCTTCTGGAGCCTGTACCACTTGCCGACTTCTCACTTTCATCCAAGACTAGCACCTTTCAGAGCAAGATCTCTTCGAAGTACATGGCTATCTTGATGAAGTCACAATTAAGACTTAACGATTGGGACGTAGCTTCGTTGCTGAATAAACTTTCCTAGTAATTGAGTTTCTTTGAAAGAACCAGGGTTCTTGTCGTACGGTTCACTGACAGGGTCATCGTATCAACTCTGGTTATGTCTTATATGACGAGAGCCCCATTTGAATATCCTCTCATTAGATGATGGTATGTTGAAAAATAGACAAGGAGAATAATGAATGAAAGTCCATGGCTTGGGGATTCAAGACTTTATCAATTCTTTGGTTGGCAGAAAATATGCAAACAGAGTCAAACACTTTGCTTTGACATCAGAAAAGGAGTCAGCATCCGCCCTCGTCAGCGAAGTTGTTGGGGATGACCCGCTGTCACAAGTCATATTAGTCCATTGGTTCCACATTTTTGGGACGGAATTACGGCAAAGTCTCAACTACTTGTGTAGTGAATCCCAGTTTGTCTTTGTCCTAGAAATGAAGCTATTTGTATTACGGAAAGTCCTGCTGAGAACCGTATAGCTTGAATGATAGCAAAAAGAGAACCGATTCAAACATAGAAGATATCTGCTTGGATCATCAGAACACAAATCGACAAGAGAAGGTCGTGTGACCTATTCAAAGCAAACCCAGTAGTAGTACACGTGACCATAATCCATAAGGTGTCCTTGTGACTATTTTTCATCCCAGGACATCTTTCCTCCTTTATCTTGCAAGGCCAGACCAGAAAATCATCAATAAAGAGTGTTCCTCAGTGTTGAACCGCTAACATCAATGTCTTTAATGTGAGGCTTCATTTAGCTGAACACCAGTATTGATTGTCTGGATCATCTTGAAACAATGGTTGGGGCTTTCACATACGACAATGGACAGAGGATGATTGAATTATCTCTACATGTCAAATGTACAACTACCTCAACTCATTCGAAGGCTATTCATTCTCGAACAGCTGAGACTTGTACCCCAAGTTTCATATTCAAATGCCAGCCGAGGAAGGAGCAAGCGAATCTATGTATCAAGTCACGGATCTCAGTACCCAATTTGAGGCTGATCCTTGGCCATTGAAATCTGATCGTGAACCAAAATTGGTGACAACACCAAATTCGCAACTCAAAACCTTGAATTTGGACATCTAGTTCCCAGATAAGCATTTTCCATTAGCCTGCCCTTCTTTGCTGACTAAACTGCTTCAAGGGGCAAAATCTCTGATTAATTTACTAAGAAATGTTTTTATTAGTTAATTATGTAATTATTTCTCTCAATTCAAAATATTTCGATAAAATACACTTTGCCGATCAAGAATGTTGCAAGCGCAACGCTATCCACTCAAAATGGTTCCAGAATCCATTCAGGGACGCTCTTCCTCAATCTCCTCCAACAGATAATCAATTCCATCGAAAAGTCAACGACAAGTAGCCTTTGCGCCGGTCCGTTGCCCAACGCAATTGATCCTACAATCTTTCCCTCATGCCCACCAACCAGCCTTGCTTTTCCAGCCATCGTTGTTTCCATGATGGGTTCTGTTTTTCCCATGGCCTGGCGGAAAATGTCCAGTTTTGTTCCCAGAACCAGGCCAGTCCTTCCCACTGTCTCCGTGCGGAGGGGGACTGTACGTAGGTGGTTTCCCATTGACTGGCCACTTCGTTGGAGAAGGATGATCACTATGTTTCGAAGGCTTCTGATGTTCGGGCCCATCACCCCTACCAGGCTGATCTCCAGTGGGAGTGGGAGGTGGGCTGAACTGAGGTTGCTTTCCGTTCCCTGGTTCATCACCCCAGCCAGTTGGGCTTGGAGGAGGACTGTACGTAGGCGGTTTGTCGTTTCCAGGGCCATTCCCCCATCCAGGTTGACCTGTTGGTGTGGGAGTGATGATGCGTGCTGGAGATATTGTAGGTTTGGGTTGAGGTTGAGGGCCATCACCCTTAGGAGGTGGGTCGTATCCTCCAGGAACTCCTCCTCCCCATCCCGGAGGTTCCATAGCTCGCATCTCATGGTTTGCGACCATTGCGCTTAGCCTATCGCTACATCAGTATCTGCACCGGCTTGGACTTCAGATTACTTACTTCGGTCCCGTAGGAAATGCACATGCTGATGTGAAGAGGAGAAAAATGAGGTCGGCAAAGCTTGTCTTCATTTTTGCGTATATCAAGAGCTATGATGATGAATGATCGAGTGAGGTTCATAAAAGTTCTCCTGAGCTTGCTTGTGCTTCTTGTATGTTGTCGGTGTGCATTCCTCGCGTGACGCGTGCTTGAATTCGCAATTTGTATTTTGAAGCAAGGGAGGCAGCGTCCAATTTCCTGATGTCTCAAAACTGAGAAGCATGAAGCAGCTGGTCTTGAAGATCTCATCCCTTAACTCAAGCTGGACAACTTTTATACTTCCAAGACAACCGTTTGTGTGTTCATGATGCTCACATCCAGATCCAGATCAAACAAGCTCGAATGCCATCCTTTCGGTATCTTGCAAAAAAAGCCTTCGGCTTTCGGAACATCGAGCAAGCCCAATCCTATTCCAACACCCACTGCGTTTCGGGTCTTGTACAATGACCAGAAAATACGTCCAGCTGATTCCGCTAAACCTACTTCCAACATCGTTGTCTCGGCCGTAATTTGGAGAATGAACGTCCCTGGTAGTGAGAAAGAGACCCAGACATTGTGTTCCTGGTTGGTGTACTGCATTACAATCGTCAAGGAACAAGGTAACCTTCGTCCCAGTGCTGTCACAGATGCTGATACCCAGACCGTCGTTGAGCAGTTCGAGAATTTCGAAATCCGCTTCCACTGTTACAGAGTCGTACAAGACCTCTCCCATAGGATTGCTTGTCTTCTTTTGGGTAGAAATCGAACCTACAAGCTTCGGATCTCTGTGAGGGGCATATCTAGCTGAAGATCGAGAGCCCGTCACTGTGACATACAAGACCGGACGGCACGAAGAGACCCAAGACCAGGATGGACCTGGATTTTCAGTCCCAGTATGGCGAACTTGGTTTTGTGTATAGTCCACATACCATAAGAGGCCGTCGCGAAAATCTTCTTGCCAAAGTCCAGCCATATAAGAGTACCCGGTATTGGCTTGGAAGATTGCGGCCAGACCAGACAACGCTGGCAGTTTGTCCGTCGGCTTGGTGAGGTAGCAGCGAGTGTATTCGACCACAATGATGTACCAGTCTGAAGGAGGGGACAGGGGCATTGAAGGTGAGTCTCCTCGAGGGATTATGAGACAATTCTTCACATCCGGACATTCATAGCTTGTGTAGGAATACTCGGAGGGCCTGTAAGCTTTGATCCTCTTGCTTCCTTCTCGTGCAGTACAAGCAAGGCATTCCCAGAAGATCTCTGTCTTACTGTAGAACAAGACTCGAGGGGACAATAATCTCTCCTGAAGCGCCCATGCCCTGTGGCATAATGGCGACTGTTTGAAGATCGCATGCTTATCGCCTACCGCAAGTAACTCGACTTCTTCCACACTGATATCCTTCTCAGCTGCTCGAGGTCTACAGGACAATATTCGGTGATGAGAGTTGGGTGCATCTAGTGCGAAGATCGTGAGGTATGCATGGCGATATACGTTTCCCATCTTCGAGGCCTCTCTAGCCCAATCATCTTCACAATCCTGCACAATACATAGCGAATCGATCCATAGATACCTAATTCCAAGCTGTCGCGTGATGAACACTGCATCTTGGAATAGCTCTGGTAATGATTGGAAGGTAATTTCCTCAAGCCTGTCGTCAAGAGTCTCTCGGGTTGTGATCAGCGGCTGGACATTTCCCCAACAATGACTCAAGGTTATGTAGGGCGCATCAATACCATCTCCAATGACAAGTCGAGGACTTGATCCGCTGACGTCAACGACTCGAGTTGGGAAGCTGTGCTCTCCTTGGTAACAATGATGGCTTCTGTTACAGAGACTAAGCCATCCATCGATGAGATCGAAAGTGGGTCTTGAAGAGGGGTCTTCTTGTAAAGCGCGAGGTTGCGGACCATATATATATTGGTAGTAGTCTATGCCTGTTAGCCTGGGTTAAAGTAATATCAAATGAGCTTACCAGATCCTCGCAAATCGTCAAGATAACCACTCGCTGTAATGGTATGGTCTACAAACCAGAGAAGTAAATGAGGGGTCTTCCCCATCCGCAACTCAGAAGGGTCCGTCAACACAGGAGGTTGATTGTGATCTTGCAGTGCGACCCCCCATTGATAGTCTATGGCCTGGCATAGCCAACATCCACTTGCAGCAGAAGATCGTAATCGTGAGTAATTGGGATGATGTCTGGTCTTCTCCCAGAGTCGATACTTCAAAGCCTTGCATCGCCAGCACAACTTCAGCCCAATGACTGGTCGCTTGTACCCTTTGATCAAGGATTCTTCGAAATCCGGGGACAAGAAGTTGTACAGAGCGAGAAGCGGGTACCAGGCTGGCGAGGATAAAGCTACCAGCAGGGCTAGCAGCAGCCCGCAGCCCGCTCCTAGGTTGGTGAAGACCCTCTGCTTGACGGGAGGCTTAGTCTCCGCATTATGGAACATGATTGTGATGTTACGGGACGAACGGATGAAAGCTGTGTTCAAGCAGCATCCTGATAAAATCGAGGGTGCATGACATGGCGAAAGAACGCCCAGTTGAAGTGAGAAGTGCTAGTCGTACAAAAAAACACGGCAGAGAATAGTAACAGCGGCAAGATGTAACGCTGTGCTGTGTGGCTGCCTGATTTTGCGGATCATTTCCGCATTATTTTAGGAGCTTTTACCTTTAGAATACGAGTAAAGCCTCCTTGGGTGAGAAAGCAAAGTATAATCATAATTAAGAACTAGACTTCGTAAGATTTCGTTTGTCATTTACTCACTAAAGTATTATGCTCGTTCGTTCTAGAGCCTGGCAGTGACGAAAGCCTGATGTGTGCATCTCGCAAAAGGAAAGCCTACGAACGAAAATTCTCGACGTGTTTGAAACAAGACCTTCTGGATCACTCAATGAGCTGCTTACAATTAATAAGATTTGCATCGGTATCTAAAGCTCTTCTTTGTCACTTCTATCTCTCTCAATGTGACGGGGAAAAGACGCAGAGTATTGGGGACTCAGCAATCAGCGACTTTGGAATGTGCCAATGGCGGGGAAGTCGCTGATTTTAGTGACAAGCGCTGAAGTTTTAGCGACATTGTCCCTGAATTCACTTCAGTAGACAGTACAGCGAGCCGTATTTAGAAATCTGAATTATTATATAGACAAGCCCAATCAATAGGCATCGGTCGAAATTACTAAATATATACAAAAATATTACTTCTTGTTCTATCATCTTCAAATCGCCATTCCAACCCCACCTCCAGGCGCTTCGCTCCTCCTCATTGTTGTCCGTTTCACCTCCGGCTGAGCAGCATTCACCTCTCCAATCCTCGGAAACGGGCTCACGGCCCTGAAACTATCTTCTAGCCAAGTCGTGAACTTTGGTGGTCGTTCCGGATGCTCGGGATCGTACGTTAGAGTGTTTTTCCTGATCATGCCTGGTCGGGCGGGACTCATGATGGCGGTATTTCCATCTTCATCCATGTCGTTTGCTGTCACCGTTCGGCTTTCGTCTTTGCCACCCCATGTCCTCGCTCTGTCTCCTCCTTGCGCAAAGGGAAACTCGGCCGAGGCTCGACCAGGAGTTCGGGGTACGTTAGGAGCCCAGGTCTTGCGGGCTCCTTGAATAGGCATTTCGGTGGAAACAGTAGATCTTGCGTCGGGCCCATCTCGTGTCCATGTTCGCCTTTCGTCCATGCTCTTGCCTCGACTCCAAGTGTTTCTTCCTACTGGCATTGGAAAATCGGATAGTGATGGACCTGCTCCTTCGCTTTCGTCTGAATTATGCCTCACTTTCATGATCTTCTCTTTTAAAGCTAGTTGGCGTGCTTCTCTCCTTCTTTGTCTATATCTAGAGATCAGATAGTACGCTAGTATTGAAATTATCGAAGAGCCCAGGATGGCGAATGTGATTGCTAAAGCGAATTTCGTCGTGTTCATTGCTGCAAGTCTTGAAGCAGCTACCGTTGCGGATGCTTGTTGCTTTTCCATAGTTAGTACCACGGCCAAACATAAGATTCAGGGAAACTCACGCTCAATGAAGAAATAGACGCCTGTGCTTGAGCGATAGCGAAAGTAGCAGTGGCTTTTGCATCACTGGCCAACGCATTTGCACTCGCCACCGCTGAATTGAGACTGATAGCTTGAGCATTGGCGCTGCTCTGAATCGAAGATAGGGCGTTGTTCGCAGACAGAACGCTCTGACTCGCGCTCGATTGAGCTGCGGCAATTGCTGATGACGCTGACGAGGATATTGATGAAAGTGCTGAAGTTGCACGTGTGCTTCCCGCTATGGCTGAAGCTGCTGTTGAGTTGGCTGAACTGATTGCAGAAGATGCCGAGATTCGGACACTTAATAGAGCACTGTTTGCTGAAGATGATGCTGAGTTAGCGGATTGTACGACGGCGTTTAATGATGCGATACTCTGCGAAAAGGTCGACGAGACACTGATCAGAGAACTCGAGAGGCTTGCCACCGATGCAGCACCGACACTGGAAGCTGAGGAGACGGCGCTACTGCATTCTGGAAGAACACCAATGATTTGGGGTAATGGAGAGGCGTATCGTGGATTGAGGGACGGAGGTGGCGTGATGAGACTTTGTGCTGGAGTCGTTATGTCGACATCACCTTGTGGAAGGTTGGTGAGGAAATCTCGGTGGCTTGAGATGAGGATATTGGTTTTGGTGACCACATTTCCAATTGCTTCGGCTGGAAGCAGAATAGCTGGTCCCTTGGACTGAATGACACTCGACGGCTCGTCATCGATCAAAGACATGTTGAACGTTATTGCTCATGACCATAGGAGGCCAAGATGTTCCCCTCGCTCATTAAGCATTAATATTGTAATTGATAAACTTCAAACGCGACGGCTGGAAATTCCTTGCTTTTCGAAGCAAGAAAGAAAATTCGATACAGACCGGCCAGCGGGAGGTTTCTCGAGATCTCCAAAAGAAGATCATTGAAGGAAGGAAGGAGAGGAGTCGAGGCCACGGCCTTGCGGCAAGGGCTGTAACAAGAATGGGTCATGAATTCGATACTTCCCGCAGCCGACGAAACGATATTCCAAAAGTCGCCCTACCAGAACATCAGATATTAAACACGCATGAGAGTAGGCATTGATTGATTTGAAGAACCCGGACGCGAACGCACAGATGGGCCGTTCTGCTCGCGAGGTGATCCTGAAAGCGGGAACGTCGTTGGCGTTTCTAGTTTCGAAACACGGTTGAGGCAGGGTTTGAAGCAGACGACGCATGAAATGTTCTGACTTGGAAATCGCAACCCATTACTTGCGGATGTTTATCTGTCTCTTCGGAGATTTCTGTGCTCATAGTTCATGGTAGTAAAGAATACGCCAAGCGAAATGTTCCAGGGGTCAAGTCAGTACATGACTCCACGTGATACGTGAGACACTGAATTGTGGAGAGGGGGAACGACAATCGAGTCCAGTATGTCGTCGATCAATCAGATGTGGTCTTTGAAAGTGCGTCAGGAGACCCCACAAATATTCATATTGTATCGGTGATCATACTTGACAAGTCCAATATAGATTGAGCACTTGAGCTCAAATGACGATTGTGAAGCTGATATCGGCTCGACTGCCCAGAGATATGCTTGATGTGACAGACCTTCAAACTGCAGACCAAACGAAGGATCAAGATCTTGGTGAGATGATAAAGACGGGGAAAAGACAAACCAAAATGCTTGACACTGACTGTCAAATATCCAACACTTGTGTGGCACGCCTCATTGTCCATCCAAGCGGCCACGTCAAAATGCTATCAATTATTATTAATTACATTAAGAAGAGACCATCCTACCACCTACATCTCATCAGAGCCCCTCCAACCCCAATTCCTCTCATCAATACTCCCTGAACAACGCAATAGTATCGACAAAACCATCCAAATTATCAGAATACACTGCAATATCTGCTCCACCAAGTGTAATCATGTTCGTCGTGCCCACTGTACTGTATCCATAAACGGCAATACTAGCTGCTGAATACGTGTCCACTGAGAAGATCTTGGTTTGGCATGTCTCCCCGTTTCCTTGATTGGAGCAATCAACGTTGTTGTTGCTGAAGAAGCTGTACAAGCCTTGTCCATAAACTGTAACGTTGTGAGATTGAGAGACATGAAGACCCCAGCCAGATTGTCCAGCCACATATGTTGGGTCGCTGTAGGCTGCGTTTGTGGGAAAAGGAACTGTAGCATCTGGGTTGGGCTGGTAGTACGCTGTTTCAGTTTGAATGAAGCCCATGAAGAGGTCGGCCGTGTTGGCGAGACTGTATTGATACAAGGAATGATGCTCAACTGCAGTCCCATACAACCAGTTAAGCCCTTCAGCACTTTCGATCAAAAGGCCACGGCCGGAGTAAATTGTGATTTGTGTCTCTTTTGGGTCCTCAACATCGTGGTCCGCAGTCCAAAGCCAACAATTCTCCATATACAGGCCTGTAGCCGAGGAGGTGACGTGCATGCTCATGAAAGCTGCGATACACTGTTTCGGAACATTGGCGGCTGTGATGGTTGTCGTGTTTGTGACTGGACATTCTGCAAGCTGGAGATTGGATCCTGCGAAACCACCAATACGAGTATGAACATCCCACATGCCTGCGGCGGTCGAGGCCAAATTCCATTCGATGAGGATGGCTCCCGCTTGAGCACCTTGTGTACTGACAATCATGTCTGACCATTCGATAGTACCAGTATCTCCTGCTTTCCCGACTTGAACAACTGGCTTGGTGTTGGTGATATCGGCAAAGTAAGAACCGCTGGACAGGATGACAGGGTACGCTTCTCCGGTGACCTTGACACCTGGTGGAAAGTAGATTGTCGTGGTAACAAGATAATCACCAGAGTCGAAGTAGACAACCTGACCACTTGATACTGCTTTGTAGAGAACAGCTTGAAGAGCAGCAGAATCATCCGTCTTTCCATCACCAGCGGCACCTGCAGATCGCACACTGAGGAATGCTGAAACTGGGAGGTTAGCATACTGAGGCTTGGAGCGAGAGTAGTAGTTGGAGCCAGAGAGGAGACCTGGTACACGAGCAGTGGGAGTAAATGGTCCTTGAAAGTTAACTGGGCCAGATGCTCCATATTTGTGTCCTTGTCCCCAAGCCGCAATTGTTGTTGAGCCTCTCGTTCCAGCAAGAAGAACGGAGTTACCAGTACCTTGAACAGCCGTTGGGACATTCTTTAGGCGGACGTTCTCGAGGATCAAGCTGCCACCAGTAGCTGGAGCATTGTTCGTGAGGGTATGGATAGTGGATACTCCGACCGGGGTGTTGGTGATATCGCTGTCAATCACAACGATTGCGCCAACTGATTGGTTTCCGCCGCTGGCCGAAGTCATATCAATGCCGACCTGGCAATTGTTGATACTAATTCCTTTGTATGTCCAACTCCAATCGAATCCTTGCATGATGGCAGTGGCAGCGTTGTTGAATGTAAGGTTACGCATTGTAAATTGCCTGATAGTATTAGCATAGGTAAGAGAAGGTAGAGATAGAACTCACTGGTTAGCAAGGAAAAGTCCTTGGGCTCCACCATTGAAAATCAGATCAGTCATGAACCCTCCAGAACCACTTTCGATGAAAAGACCCTGATGTTGATTACCAGAAGCTTGAGACATCTGGAACACAATGTTTTGAAGAGAAGTAGCTTGAGCTGTAGGCCAATGAATGGCTGCGACCTGAAAAGTTGCTGGAATTGCAGTAATGTCGATGATGAAGTTACGAATCTGTCTCCAGAAAACATTTGTCGGACCATATCCAAAAGCTCCTCCAGCTTGGTATTGATCGCCATCAATCAACCATCTAGTGCTGAACGTTGAAGCGGCTTTGATTGTAGGCATGCAACCTGGGATCGGGTTCCCAATGATTTGAGTGTAGTAGTAGTCAATGATACCAGGATTTGATACCAGGTAGGTTCCATTTGGGAAGTATACAATGGCGGGCGTGGTGGTTGACGATCCGCAGGAACCGGGAGCGCATCTGTTCCCACTCGAGATGGCATTGTTGATAGCAACAGTGTCATCGGTGACTCCGTCTCCTACAGCCCCAAAGTCCTTGACATTTCGGAACACTTGGTAGCTGCCGGGAGCAGCGTTGAAAGGAGCGATACCCTGATGTTTGATACTTTCCATCCAGTATTGAGAGCATGTTGTAGGAGAAGGGGTGGCAGAAGAGGTCGAGGATGATGAAGTCGAGGAGGACCTAAGAACAATCAGCATAGGTTCAGAGGAATTGTAAAGATCGTTCGCTTACTTGCTGCTTGTCGAACTCTTGCTGCTCGTGATCGACGACGAAGACCTGTGGTAAATCAGCATTCAAGGTCAATTTGTAGCCTTTTATCATTGCTTACGTGCTGGAACTAATTGAGCTGGTTTTGCTGCTGGAACTTGAGGAGCTGCAAGGTTAGCTTCGTGAACGAATATGCATGGACGCACTCACGATAATGTGCTGCTGGTGCTTGACACAGAGGATGATCTACGTCAAATTAATGTGTACAGCAACAAAAATCTGCCGTTTTTACTCACTTGGATGAACTGCTTGAGCTAGACTTGCTGGTGCTTGTCACAGAGGACGACCTGTGTCAAATCAGCGTGAGGAACCGCAACAACCAGCCATCTTTACTCACTTCGATGAACTGCTTAAGCTAGAGGAGCTAGACTTGCTGCTACTGGTCAAAGAACTGGAACTGAACATCATATGATTAGCTCAAATCGCAATTCATGGATTATGCTGAGATAATGTACCTCGACGAGCTTGTCTTGCTACTGCTGGTAACTGAGCTAGAGCTGGAAGGTTTGCATGGTCAGCCGATATCCAAATGGATTGAGCATTTCAGGCTGCTTACCTCGAAGAACTTGTCTTGCCGACAGAAGAGGAAGCTGTGAGACTGCTTGATGACGACCTTTGAACTTTTAGCGCAGGGACGTCAAGTAGAAATTTGCAGCACTTACTTGCTCGACGAGGAACTGATTTTACTTGAGATAGACAGGGTAGAAGATGACTGTGAGCTGGATTTCGACACGATGGAGGAACTAGTCTGGCTTGAACTAGACATGGAGGAGGAAGACTCGGAGGCTGTTGTGCTGCTCTTGCTGACGAATGAAGAGACGCTCTTGCTGTAACTCAGAGACGATGATTGCGAGCTTGTGAGACTTGACTTCGACGCAGAACTGGTACCAACGGTCGATTTTGATGTCTGGCTGACTTTAGAAGTTGCGGACGATGAAGACAGAGGGCTGCTAGAAGACGAGCTGCTTGATAACACTGAAGACAGCGATTCAGAAAGAGTAGATGAAGATGACGAGACCGAAGATACACTTCCAGTGACCTTGCTACTCGATGTAGCAGAAGATGATACCTCATATGGCTTGCTGGAAGAGACACTTGAGGTCGAGACGGACGAATAATTGCCCCATGTATATGTCGTCGAGGAAGATACACTGATGGACGAAGGACCCGTTGAAATGCTGCTGCTGACGGTTCCAGACTCGGAAAGACTGTATGAAGAGCCAGGTCCAGAATATGTCGAAACGCTGGACGGAGAAATAACGCTCAAAGACCCAGATTGAGTAAGTGACGAAGCCGGAATCGTGCTCACACTCCCACTCTCTGACTCCGTCCCAGTCGTAACACAAGTTGTCGCCACCGCCTTCGAGATAACCACCGTCACCAGCTTGACATGAGTCTCCACAGTCGTGGTCTCGGTCTCATTCCATCGTTGATGTTTGTGGCCATCTGGGGTACCATTGTAATCCGCGAAAACCGCAGTAAGGAGTGTAGAAAAGGTAATGAGTGACTTGTTGCTGAAAAGCATGTTGAAAAACGAAAGTACGAAGGTATAAAACCTTCAATTATACAGAGAGAGAATAACAGTGACGAGTTTCCCTACCTTCCTCCACGATGCTGGGGTCCGGATCGACTTTATTGAGAGCAGCAGACCGGACGAGACCGTCAAGCGCACATCCCAGAGACCTTGCCCTTGCTCGTGCCCGCGCTGACGGTCCTTCTCCCTTGGGACCTGCATCTGGGTATCGTATGACCCCCTTGCACGCGCATAGCTCTAATTCAGCATCAGCTCAATTGGGGAGAACAGCCTTACGCCACATTCACCGTTGGCGGCGGTGATGAGAGACATCAGTGGTCAGAGGCGCCGCCAATTTCTTCTCCACGATGTTGTCTGCACGATGGACCAATGATGGTCAGCGTTGTTGTTGTTGGTTATTGGGGCCGAGCGAGCGGGATGGCTGACGCCGTCTTAGGGCAGGGGAAGAAGGGCTTACTGTACCCCTCTAGCTGAGAGGTGGACCGAGGCGGCATGATGAAGCTATCCCAACTATCGATATCGTGACATGAACGCGTCAAGAGATGATGGGACTGGAGGGCATCTCGCTGAAGAAATCATCCCCCATTGTTTCTCTTCGACCTACGTTCATGGTGTCGTGGTGGTTGAAGACTCTGATGATTCATGCGAGGATGCTGGTCAATGGAAAGGGAGAGAGGTGAGGGAAGAATTTTCCGTTTCGCAGTCGGGGAAGGGCGCCGGAAAAACACACCATGCCAACTTGGGCCAACACCGACCAAAATAAAATTAACATCGTATCCTTCACGACGGCGCCAAGTGAAAGTGATTGACTAACTGTACCTGTACCGTCGTGTCGCAGGGGACGCATAGGCTAAATGGATCGTCAAATAACTTTATTTTTTGAGTTCCGAGCTGCCCCTGATTTGCTGCTGGGAGTCAATGCTTGGCCACTACTTCGCGCACGAGGTTGCGAGGATTTGTTGCGGGGGATCTTCATTAGGAATCATTGGCATGCATCATCTGTTATGTAGAGAAGACCATCACACATCTTTCAAGAGCTTACCTTCACACACATTGCAGAGATAGAGACACCAGAATGTCAGAACCAGGATGAATTCGGTGCCCATCTAATGCTTTCAGAACATCACTGAGCCCACTTCATTCCCTGACAACACTACCTGCCAACGCCGACGCCAATGCAAATGCCCATGAATCGCTGAAGAAACACACGCCAGACGCCACCATGCTGTGCAATGCTCATCATCGAAAACCCCATCAGATCAACAATATCTACATCGTAGAGTCAGGCTCGGAGCTCCAGCTGAGGCTGCTGTCGGGGTCGATGTGTGGGAGGGGGACGAAAGGTTCACCAGCAGCAGCTCGGACCAATTCCTCCTTCTCGTCACGTCGAGCCATTGTCTCTTCGACGTTCGGCTTGAGGTTCTTTAGTCCGAACATCCGAGGCAAGAACAAACCCTATTCAAAATGTCAGCAGGTCTTCAAAGCTAGTATACTACCTACTTACCCAGATTGTACCACCAACTTTAGACAAGAGCCACATTGAAGTGGATTTCTCGCCAGCCAAGAGCTGCGCGCTGGGATTCTTTGACAGAATGTGCTTGGCGACCTTTGCAGCAAAAAGCTCTCGGCTGGTCTGATGCTTCAGAGAGACCTCGCCACGGATTATGCGCTCGATTTCAGTCTTATTGGGATAATAGAAGGATTCGGGACCAATCGCAGCCTTGACATTGTTGTCATTCATATTCGATTTGATCCCACCAGTGAGGACCTAATTCTGGTTAGCAACTCTTTCTGTGATTCGAGAACAGTGACCTACATTGATCACCTTAACCCCAAATGGCTGAAGTTCAAGTCGAAGAGTATCCGAAAACATTCCCAGGGCAGCCTTGCTCGAATTGTAGACCCCGAGCCATGGAACAGGCGAGAACTCTGCAATTGAGCTAATGTTGACAACGCGTCCCTTCGACTCGATGAGCATGGGAGCGAAGGCTTGCGTAACGGCCAATACACCAAAGTAGTTGACGTCGAAGACCTTCTTTGCTTGAGCCATATCAGCATCCAGCAACGGTGCCGAATAACCTATGTCTAATTAGCACGCAGATCGGACGGTCTCGAGACAGTGCAGCCATTACCGATGCCAGCATTGTTTATCAGGATATCCAAGCGGCCGCCATTCATAGAAGTGAGATTAGCGACGCATTTCTTGATAGACTCTTCATCGGTGACATCCAGCGGAAGCCAAGTCAGGCTCGGAACGTTGGCATCGGTCTGGTGAGGCATGAAAACCGCTGACTCCGACAAACTGCGCATGGTTGCGAATACTCGGTGGCCCATGCGATACAGCTGCATGGTAAGTGCTTCGCCAATCCCACCGTAGCTGCAGCCAGTAATCAGAATGACCTTTGGTCGCATGTCATTGTCCGAAGAGGTAGACATTATGTTCAGTGGAGGTATGCGACAGCCAAGAGATAGCTGTATGGGGGCCGCAAAGAAGTTTTGCGAACGATTGATGTTGTCAAGTAGAAGGTGGTTGTTGTAAAGTTGCCGAAAGGTCGAGAGGCGGGAGTTTCAGCCTTGTCTTGGATCAACAGACCGAAAAAAAGTGAATCCTGGAACAACCGAAGACCCAATCGGCTTATCGCAATGTCTCACTGATAGAGGGACAATCAGCAGGGTGTGGTACAGGGCAGAGTTCAAAGACTCACCTACCAAAGCCAAAAGGAAAACTCCTTTCAGGCCGGCAGCTTGCAATCTTTCTTGCAATTGCATCCAACTGAATTACACCATGTCTCAGCCACAGAATTTCCCATCCATGGCATTCTCCATCTTCAACTTATCGTGCATCATGGTTTCTCACCAGGGATATTCAGGCCTTGCTCAGCAGCCCCGGTTCCGATCTCGCTCTCAGAACGTGATGGAGAGGTGACAATTTTTGCGGCTCTGGGTGCATTCGAGCACACACCACTTCAAGACCATACTCCTACCAGTGAGATAGTCTCCCATATCTCTTTCCTCCATGGCATGAAGAGATTGGACGGCTTGAGTTCCAAGCCTCGTAGTATGATTTATTTTCCTTGTTTGAATTGGATTTATGGCAGGATCTGCAACTGAACAAGATGTCCTTCGACTTTACCATCCTCATGGAATAGGTGGCTCCACTCGTCTCGGCTTGCTGCACTCTTCCAATTGTCCCATGGGCCATGCAGATGAAAATACCAGCCCAACACCAGCACGAGAAGTGACAAGTGTGACTTCATTGGAGCTGTCGAGCCTTCTCACGATCACTGAGTATGATGGAGGCAGTTCTCGACTGGCGCATAGGCCAGAGATACTGAAATGTATTGTATTTCAGCGTATTTTCAGGCGTTGGATTGATGTGTTCGAGCTCGAGGAAAGAATCATATACCCGGCCCAATGTAGATTTCATCTCAAACAGGGCTGGAATGTCTCCGAAAAGATGTTACGCGATCCCCAACACACGAGTGAAGTTTCGGCTAGCCCCTTTACTGGCTGTCGCCTTCAAATCGAGACAAATTGACCCACTGGAAGATTGTCGAAAGGCATTTACAATCGTAGGTGGCGAGAAGAACTTGTCTTCGAAGGGTTGATTTCGAACATCTCCAATTCCTTCTTCCTAAATAGACCATCGAGCGTTCGCAATAATTGCAATGGGAGCTGGTATGACCATGACTTGCAACCGTGCCGGGGAGATGACCGAGGAAGACGCTGGAGTTCGCGGTAGAAAAGAGACCGAGCACTGAAGAGATTTAACGACAGAAAATCATCCCCTTCTCGCGTAGGGTTCCGTGTATATAATGTCGGAATGGCGCCCAGATGAGCTCCACAACTTCCATTCGTATCCTCTTGAAAGTCAAGAGGCTCCGAAGTCAATCAGTTGTCCCACCTCGTCCTCTTCATCGTTCTCTATCTCATCCCAGTTATCGACATCCTCTTCATCATCTGAGAGCATTTCTCCCTCTTCCAAGTATCGGATGTGGATGGCTGGTGGCTCCCAGTCCGGATGTGTAGCTTGTTCTCTGCGGAACACAAGTTGGACGTCTTTTCTAAAGTATGGGGCATGTTCGGCAATGAACGAGTCCGCATATATCGGAACAAGTCGTAGTATACCTTGCTTCGTGCTGTGCGGCTTCTCGGTCATCTCGATATAAATTTCCTCCTCGAGAGATCGTAAATGCTTGTCGGCCCTACCCGTCCGGGTCAGGTCTCCATTCTCATGTCTCTCGAGAGGCGGCAGAGTGTATATTGTGCTGAGGAATCCGTCTTGTTGTGGCTCGTTCGCTCGTCGTTCTTCTCTGAGCCGGAGTTCAGCTATCTCGGTTGGGTCCAATTGGCCTGCCTCAGACAACTCTCGCAACCTGTCGTCCCAAGTAAAGTCCTCGTCATCGATCCATTCTCCCTCATAGCCATTCGAAGCTGTTTCAATCTCTGATTCATCTTCCTCGGAAACTGCAAGATAGAAGTCTGTCAAAGCTGTGAACTTTCGTAGGACGCCGGCAAGAGAGAGGGAAATGGCAGGGAATTCGTGATTGGTATGTCGCATGCCCTGCCTGGAACCGAGTCAGCGAAGTTCAACCTGTAGATATCTAGGTGCTCAAGTACTCACCAAACGTCTGCTGCCAAAGATACGTGTTGTAATAGCTGGATGTTGTCTGTGGTAAAGAAAGCGTTCTGAAGAGGGCGCAAGTTGAATTTAGGATCGCTGACAAAGATGATATCCCGATGGGGAAGGATAGCCACATCTAAGAAAGCAGTGTACTTCTTACGTGCCTCCTGGTTTACCTGGGAGATGGGATCAGGACACAACGAGTCGCTGCGTATCTGCCATGAGTAGTTATCTGTATCATAAACGACCTGCAGAAGTCGGCGTCGATGGAAACTGGAGACGTATCCCCAAATCTCAGTCTTCAGTTCGACGGGGAGCAGCTCGAATTTCTCGAAAGTCTCCAAGATAGTCTTTGGAGGTGCTGCAACCATTGTTTTGACATTCCAGTCTGCGTTGCTGCGTAAGAAGAAGGTAAAGAGGTGAAATATTGTCGACAAGAAGGCAAGGATGCCTGATCACGTGAAAGCTATAATCCACCGGACCACCACCAGTTCCACATAATATCAATAGGTAGGTATCGTTCATCCACTGCTGTTTTGAATTTGGGGCAAGTCAAGCAGCACCAGCCGTGCCTCATAAATACAGTTCGGGGGACACAAAACGGCGAGGCTCAACCCTCGTCGTTTATCATCCTCCAATCAAATTATTCGGATTTTCTCCTTATCATGCATGTTTGCCGTTGCTTTACCCAATAGGGACAACCTTCACTGTCAGCGCAGCCTCGTTCCCCATTTCTGAATGCACATCTGCATTTTAAGGCACAAGTACGGAGTCGTACCAAGCCACGATCCAAGGCTGAGCGATTTGGAGCCTGATAGAGTTCGTTGAGGAGAAATTCATTGGCTCCAGCCAGTCTCCGCGGTGCTTTAGTATGCATGTCGGTCACAAATCAGACAGGCTTCCCTTCACACGCGCCATCCAATCTGATTTGTCCTACTCTGTCTAGTTAGCTGTGCATGACTTGAATGCTAGTGGCTACATCGGCTCGAGGGCTTGCTTCACGGTCTATATAGGGAGACGAGTTACGCAACCAATTGATGGATACAACCGTCACCTCCTACATGGCATCCCTAGGAGTTTTGCGGGAGAGCGATGACTTCGAGCTGTCTTTGGCACTGCAAAACAATAGTGCACTGCAGAGAGCGTTGCAAGAAGGTGGAAAGACGGACGAGACTCGGCAGTCGCTCATCGTCCTCGCATGTCGGACTATCCAAAGTTGCTTGGGACCAGGTGTGAAGCTTGATCCGGATCCATCGCTGGCCAACACCAACTGGTAGGTTCTCAGTCAAAAATGCGAACTTTGGTTGATCAAATACCAGGTCTCAATCATGCTGGCTCACACCTAAATGCATCGTGTATCCACGGTCTGCTAAAGATGTCTCTCGGACAATCAAGATTCTGGGTCTGTTGCATACACCATTCTCTGTGCGGTGTGGTGGCTTATCTCCAACTCCGGAGCATTCCAGCATTGCGGATGGCGTTCTGATTGATTTGAGAGAGTTGGGTGGGATCGAGATCTCAGCTGATGGGAGGATTGCTAGTGTGGGACCAGGGGCACGGTGGAGTGACGTATTTGAAGCTTTAGATCCCCATGGACTGACCGTGGTCGGTCCGCGGTTGCCAAACGTTGGAATAGGAGGATTTATCTTGGGTGGTAGGTTACAGTTTGAGCATGGTAATACCAAAGTCTTATGATGTTCCAGGTGGTCTTTCATTCTTCTCCGGGGAGTACGGACTGGCTGCTGACAAGGTGGAGAATTTTGAGGTTGGTGTCTTGCCTCACGGCGTGGCCTTACTGACCGAATCAGATTGTGTTGTCTGATGGATTAATCGTGGATGCGAATTCTGCAGAGCATCCTGATCTGTTTTGGGCATTGAAAGGGGGCGGCTCTAATTTTGGTAAGTGACTAACCTTACGGGCTGCCCTTTACTTAGCTAACATTCTCAGGTATCGTGACAAGATTCGATCTCAGTACTGTCCCAATCAGAGATATATGGTACTCCATGTCCACCTATGCTATTACAGAAGTTCCTGAAGTACTCCTAGCTTTCGAGCAATGGCAACTCAGATCCGCAGATCCTAAGTCGGCTATTTTCTTGCGGATGGGGCTTGACTCCTGCACGATCACCTTGGTATATTCATCACCCGCGAAACGACCCCCATGTTTTAATGTATTCTATGACATTGATGTGATGGAGTATCTGATCCTGCCGACAAATGGCACTGTCGTGTCATTGACGACTGCACTTGCAGAGCTCTTCCCACATAATCCTGCGAGGTACGATCTACACATTCTTTTGCTACTCCAATCTTCTAAATTTCTAGGCATGATCACCGAGCAGCGAGCAGGAAGAATGATCTTGGATTGTACTCCGCTGTGGAGGCATACTGGGTCTGGAGGAAAGAGACGCTTGCTCTCCGAGACTCAACAAGAGCAGATGCGACCTTCATGATACAACATGTGCCAAAGACCCTGATTGAAAAGGGGATCGAAGACGGTAGCAATCCACTAGGTCTCACGGCCGTACCTCAACAGTGTGAGTTTACCATATCTCTCACACGTTTAGATATTGACTTAACAGGGTGGGCAATTGTTGTTGATTGGGACTCAGCAAAAGACGACAACCTTGTTCGAGAATCCTTGAGAGATATAACAAAACGATGGACAGATCTTGCAAAGGAACAAGGTACACATCTCGACTTCGAGTTCATGAATAATGCATCTGGTGACCAGAATCCACTTCGAAGTTACGGAGAGACCAATCTGCAAAGGCTGCGAGATATATCGATGAAGTACGACAAGGCGCAGGTCTTTCAATTGCTGCAGAAGGGAGGATTCCTCCTCTCCCGGGCCTAGCTCCACGGGTAAAGGGTAGTGTAGTCTAGGAATGGGGAGGCGTTGGGGTGTTTAGATGACGGGATGTTAACTTCATAATATATCACACCCTGATTCTCGGGACGATTCGAAGATCACAATGAGCTCATTTCTCATAAAGCATGGCTCAATTGTTTTTCCGGTGACGCAGAAACCAATAAGTATTACGGATCTCGCTTGTGCATCTTCATGTCATGCAGAAAGAGCAGGGCGAAGTACGGGGATCAGCGCTAAGCCCAATTGCTATCTGAACCGCCATCCGAATTGCGGGTGGGCCACTCATTGGTCACAGAACGCCCAAACCGAGGCAGCAAGATAAGCGTAAAGCTTATTGGCGGACAAGCATCATCTGACAGGGCCGGCACGATGCACCTTCCTTCCATAGCGCTTCTAGTGGGCTTCTAGTGTCTTACGTGAATGTACGACGTCGGTCGGTCGGTTGGAGCATCATTCACAGGACTCAGCCCCACTCGAGAGACGCCCGCGAGGGTGCATGAGGGAATATGAGCAGCAAATATAAGACCTGTACGCCTCCACGATAGACACTCGATATCAAGGATTGCTTCATGTAATTTCCTTCCCTCTTCTTCACGCAATTTTTCTACAAAAGCATCTAAACCTGCGACCATTGGCTGGTATCAGCACAATTACCCCACCATGCCTCTCCTCGACAAGCTCTCCGCCATGAGAGGCGAGAAGACAAACGTCGAAGCTTCTGAAAAGCTGCCCGAGAATGTAGCACCCGTTGCCGCTGCTGCAGCAAGCAAAGAAGCTCCCCCATCCTACGCCGTCACCGATCCTATCAGCGAGTCAACAGGCCCTTCCGAAGCAGAGCTCAATGCTGCATTCGCCTCCCTGAATATCTCGTCGACACCGAAAGAGTTCCCAGATGCAGACACCTGCCTCGCACATCTGAAGCTTCTCTCTGCCTTCCATGGCCTGAAGGAAGATGTTGGCTACACAGATGGGCTATTCAATCTCTGGGATGCGAGGTGCGAGATGGTGGAGAACAGGGATGAGACATTGGCGAAGATGAGAGAGAAGCGGTGGGCTTTATACATCGCCAGAGCTGTAGAACGATTTGAGGAGTGGTGGTTGAAAGTACTGGTCAACATGGAACCAAGTAAGAGATTAGAGGGCAAGGAGATGGTGGCTACGAATGCCGATTTTGTGAGCTTCACCTCGAGGGGCAGGCCACAACAATGGACGGCTGCCATGTTACCTCCAATTGGTAAGATGCCCCGATATTCTACAGAGGAAATACTGACATGGACAGATGTCCTTATGGTTTGGCACTCATTCATGCTCAATCCTCGAAATTATGAAGAAGACTGTGTTCGATTCGGTCTCAAGGATCTCTGGGCTACAGGCATGCCCTGGATCGCGGTTAACGCAGCAATCGATACAAGCTTTCACTATAATGTTCCCGAGGAAGCGAAGACAAAGTTCACTCAAGCAACAAGACGTCACTGGAACAATGCTGAGGACTCTCTCATGAAGATGGTGCATTGCCCCAGATGCAGTCAGCAACTTGATATTCCATGGACCACCTGCTGTCAGAGCGAGAAGACGCCTGCCAAGGAGTAAGCCAAACCCATTGCTCATCGGTAATACTACTGACATACTGCAGGGTCGCAGACATGAATGGGCAAGGCTTTGGAGACCGTGATTTATCTTTCTTCTGCCTCAAGTGTGGTTCTGAAGTCAATCATGATCTGCTTCGAGTTACGAAGTTCAAGAAAGACACCGAGAATCTCATCATGAGAGATTGGCCACTTGGAGGTACAATCTTGTCACCGGAAATTGGCGCACCTGTGGCACCAACGACAATTGAATGGAACACATATCCATATACTTTCCCCAACAGACTTGTTGGACTTGAGCTGCGAGCCCAGGTCATCGAACTGGTCAATAATGGGAATCCAACGATGAACGACATCAAAGAGCTCATCGAAGGTGCTATCAAGGACAAATCTGTTGTCAAGAAGGTCAACAGTAAGTCAGTATTCGAAAGTGGTGTCTTGAAACGACAAGAACGACTTGCCATCCGCAAGATGATGTCCAGGTATTGGGAAAACCCTTCCATCTTTGCCCTTGAACTTGGCGGCGCTGTCATTCGTCAAAGCGTCTTCGTTGATAAGATGTATCAAATCGACTGGCTTCACAGCCCTGCTGCACGACAGACGATGGACCGTCTTCTTCAGAAATACTCTCGATTTATTCACATCATCGCTACTTATCCATCAAATACTGCTGTCCCTACACTAGATGTCGATCTTGGGTGGCATACACATCAGCTTTCAACAAAGTCATACTTTGATTACACTATGGTCAAGTGCAAGAAGTATATCGATCACGATGATAAAATGGATGAAGATGCACTTTCTAGTGGTTTCGAGTGGACTAGCAAGACTTACGAAAAGTTATTCAATGAAGTATATTCTGAATGTACTTGCTGGTACTGCGAAGCCATCCGATCCAAGCATATCTCCCGATCCAACAAAATTTTTGGGACGTCGAAGCACGAGAAGGTACTGAACAACTTCTACGATTCCGGAGCAGCGAAGCTCTGCCCTCCAGATAACTCTGCGCATATTTCATCTCACAACGCTGTGAAGGTCGTCGAATCGGAGGCCCGCACAGCCGTCTATGCAGCCCTACGCAGAAGACGGGAGCTTGAATTGGAAGAAGCATACAAGAAGGCATGCAAGAGAGCGCAAGCCAAAGGGAGACCTATTCCACCAAGACAGGATTACTACTATGGTGCTTGGGGCTATCCGTACTTGATGTATGGACCTTGGATGAGCTATGGCATGATGGGGGGCGTCTACTATGCTGGTGATCCTTGTGTCATGCCAATGGGCGCTGGGATGGCTGGTAATTGCGCTGCTGGAACTTGCTCAGGAGGAGTTGGAGCGGGAGGTTGTGGGTAAGTCTTGGAGAGCACTTTTCTATTATTTCACGATTCTAGCACTATATTCTAGAGTTAGTGCTCTAGATACTCTCCTAGGACACGCAGTTCTACCCCCAGAATCCTAAAAAGGTATGCTGACTGTGGGAAAATAGTGGCCCCGGCGGGTGTGGTTCTGGAGGAGGTTGCGGAGGAGGTGGTATGGGAGGCTGTGGAGGAGGAGGGGGCTGCGGAGGAGGTGGAGGCTGTGGTGGTGGAGGCGGCGGCGGATGTGGAGGAGGTGGTGGAGGTTAATCGACTTTTGATAGGTTTTGCGATGGGATGGGATATGATACCTTGGCCTTTGGAGGGCTTTTCTTTAATACCGTGGCACCAAATTACAATGCTTTATGACTTTGCTACTTACGTCTCTACAAATATGAGATCCTTGATCTCTCTTCTTCTTGTACGAAAAGGAGACTTGAAACTCAGTTGCTAAAAATAAGCTGTCAAAATCACGTGTACATGCGGCGCGTCTTTCAATTTACTTCCGACTCTCGCGATCCCCTTTTCCAAAGAAAACATCAGCACTCTTCCTTCACAACTGCAAATGCAGTCTCCATGTTCTTTCTTTGCGTGCTTCGTTACGCACTTTACATTCTTGTGCCACTCTCATTGATCCTTTCAAGCTATCTTTACCTGTACCCCGTTTTTCACCTCTGCGCATTCCCATCCCCTAATCAAGATGCGAAATCCAGCTACTTCAACACCATTCTCCAGCACACCCCTTTCTCGTCCGAAGATTCGAAATCGGTAGCGCAGTTCCGACTCCTGGCTCTAGGGGATCCGCAGCTCGAAGGCGACTCCTCGATTGATTTCGTCGAGTCTACCACATTTCCTCACTTCTCGAAATTCTTCGACGATGCTTTTGGGTCGAAACATGGCCCGCTGCAGAGCGTGAGGCATGGGTTGCATGATCTAGTTGATTTTTATCTCGACGATATACCGAAAGCGCTGGAGGTTTACAGGAAGAGATTGGATCACATTGGTAATGATTATTACCTCGGGCATATCTACAGGACGTTGCATTGGTGGACGAAGCCTAGCCATGTTACTGTTCTGGGAGATCTCGTCGGCAGCCAATGGATTGATGATGAGGAGTTCGAGAGCCGCGGTTGGAGATTCTGGAATCGTGTTTTCAGGGGCGGAATCAAGGTTGCTGAAGAGCTCACCAGTCAGCCTGCCGAAAACTTCGAAGGGGCCATGATACTTGGAGAAGAAAAGGAGGAGTGGAAACGAAGGATCATAAATGTTGCTGGGAACCACGACATTGGCTATGCAGGCGATTTGGATCAAGGACGGATGGCGAGATTCACAAGGATGTTTGGGAAGGCGAACTACGAGATGCGGTTCAATCTGCCAGTCAATACAACGGAAGAGGACCATCCTGTGCCGGAACTGAGGATCATTGTGCTGAACGACATGAACTTGGATACCCCGGCAGGAGTGAAGGAGCTTCAGGACGAGACCTATAATTTCTTGAATAGTATCATCACTACTTCTCAAGACGTTACTCGCGCCGCACACTTCACAATCGTTCTTACGCATATTCCGCTATTCAAAGAAGCTGGTGTTTGTGTAGATGGGCCGTTCTTCGATTTCTTCGATGGCGAATTTGGCAATGGAGTAAAGGAGCAGAACCACCTATCCATGGACGCTTCGAAGGGGTTCCTAGAAGGCATATTCGGCATGAGTGGGAATACGGACGTTCCAGGCCATGGAAATGGTCGACACGGTGTGATTCTGAATGGTCACGATCACGAAGGTTGCAATGTCTACCATTACATCAACCAATCCTCGGATCCAGAACGAGTATGGAAATCTACAACTTATCCGTCCGCTCTTGCAACTGGGATCACTGAAGAGATGTTAATTCCTGGCTTACGAGAGGTCACTGTGCGGAGTATGATGGGCGATTTTGGAGGCAATGCTGGACTGATGAGTTTGTGGTTCGATGAGGAGGAGTGGGATTGGCATTTCGAGTTCGTGAATTGCAAATTAGGAACTCAGCATATTTGGTGGCTTGTGCATATTTTGGATCTGATCACCTTGGGTGTCGGGTTTGTATATGGGATTCTGGTCGTCTTGCAGTCATCTCCTTGGAACTTAATTGACAAGAAGGTGGCAGATGGAAACAGTGGGAAGCAGAATGGTATTTTGTACGAGAAGAAAGGGAACGGGCATGCTGGCTTTTCAACAGACGCGCAGCCGGTCAAGTTGAATGGTGGTGTGCACCAGACCGTTGCAGGGAAAGGGAGTTTGAGGAAGAAGAAGAGCAAAGCAACCATGAATGGGTTGAGCTCAAATGGAGTGACGACGGGAGCTTGATGAAATATATTGCACGATACCCGCTGTTTAGATTGCAATCGCAATTCTTTCTTATATGTTCTCAAGTATGATTCTTCCGTCCCTGCGATTAGGTCTGTCAAATTTTGATCATTGCATTCAGATCGCTTTGTTGTGCCCAGTGGCATGTCGAATGGTTGACCTCACTCCCGTTAGCAGCGGGTAACGATTGCTTCTATTTCGCTTGGATGTCTTCCAGGATGCTTTTAGAATGTCATGACGAGTTCATGACATTGAGCCTCAGATTTCCGAACTAATAGTGGAGGGAAAGGGCTTAGTGACCACTTTGACAGCTAAACGGCGTATGAACTGGCTTAGTAGGTCACATAGTCGTCCTCTTTCCACTGCTAATAATGTTTTCGATTTATATAAAGCAACCTTCTGACCCAAACCATCAAAATTCCTCGTTGCCGACGTACATTTGTCAAGATTCCTCAAGCCGAGATTATTCCTCTGCCACGATTACCCCCTTTCAAATTACCCCAACCTCCATCTAAGCGAGAGCGGTTTTTCAAACTTCGTTCAGCGTTATCGACTAAACCCTACCAGCAGAAGCTCCTTCGGGTAGTGTTCTTGCCCGATTACAAGTATCGGGTCCAGGAGCATGTCAGATGTTCGCAGAAATCCTCCGATCCAGGAAGTCCCGGCGTTTCAGCGACTTTCACTTTTGGAACCACTTCCATCAATGCCTTCAAGCGCCAGACACCAAGGGCAAAGAACGGCGACTCCAACCGAAAAGCTTGGGAGCAACAGGATCTTGCTGTTCTGAAAAATGTCCTGTTCAATACCACACAGACCATGTCTGGTTTGCCTCGATACCCCAAAGCGCTCGTACCTCTTACGTCAGAAGAACCCGTTGTTTGTAAACACGAAAACCCTACAATCTCGCGAGTTAGCCTTTATGAGCTTCCTGCTGAGGTTCTCATGATCATTGGCGAGCTTCTTGGCCCTGTGAGTGCTTCGTCACTGGCACTTTGCAATCGAACGGTACTCTGGAAGCTCGGAAACCGCCATTTCAAGCGACTTGCACGAGATCACCCCTTGAACTATCCAATATTAGATAGTCGTCGTGCTGTGAATAATGCTGTAACGCGAACTAGATCCAATCTTGAACGTCTTCTTAAAATGCTCGACAAAGAGTCGAAGGATGTCATCTACTGTTATTATTGCAAACGACTCCACAGACCAGAGCACACCGCTGCTTCCGTGCCAGGATATGGAGGAACAAGCAGATCATTTGTACCTTGTGCCTACGTCCACAGATACCAATACCCGTACGAAGCAGTCCATCCGATGTTTAGTTTTGCACTAGCCAGGATGGTGATGAAACTTCATCGAGCCGGGCTTGATTACTTGAAGTATTTACAGACAATCCCGCGGACGAGGATAGATTACAAAGAGACTCATACGTACCTACGGTCTATCGAATTTCGAATTGCACCTATCGAGGGCGGACATCTTATTCTTCGAACTCAACATTGGTATCTGGTTCCTATCTACCGATTCAATCTGTACCGCATAACAATATGTCCGCACAAGAAGGATTTAACTCTCCTATTCGACCTCAGGCAATCGGCCAAGATATGGCCCCATACCGTTAGATATCTTGAGGTCGCCCACCCACCGACCAGGAACACGGACATGAAGAAATACTTGTGTCCCGCATGTTTAAGCGAGTACCAAATTGACAGCAAAAGAATGTCCGATGAGACATTGGCTATTTGTGTTACAGTCTGGCAGGACTTTGGCACATGTCGTGCTCCGTTCGATGCGCGCTGGAAACGGTTGTCTCTCGCTAATCAAACAGCTTCAAGAAATGCTTATATCACCACTGGGATTATGAGTCAGTATTTTGAGTTGTGGAGGCCGTCTGATGAGTATCTGAGTGGTCCCATCAGAGAGTTGTTCACTCTCGCGAGGCCAGAGATTGGACTTGGCCAATGCCACAGATGAGGACTCACGGGAGAAGAGTGAAGGTTGGAAGTTGGCATACTCATTGCTATCATTCTCGGTTATTCCTTGGACAAGTTGCACTCGGAAGTCCACGCTTGCGGGGTCTACTTTCTACATGATTGCTCTATTCTACGCTCGATGATGCAAAACCCATTCTAATCGGCGCCGTTATATTTCAGCTCCTCTTAACTTATTCCTCCTCGCTTGATCTTTCGCCCATGAAATCGGATCCCTCCATGTCGGCAGACTCGCCACACTCTCAACTCTCGAGTCCCGCTCCGCAATCGTCATAGGCTGCTCCCACATCCCACTCGCCTCAATACTCGTGGCATTCCTCGCAGCTACAATACCCTCACCTTTCTCGTCCAGCTTCTGGAATTTCCCTGGTCTCTGACCCCTTCCGCCAATCAACCCTGACCCCAAGCCACTGCCCAAATGCAACTCTCTGTCACCAAGAATATCGGTCCGCACTCTCGGCGATCAACAGCGTCATTCCCTGCCCCATTTGAGTTCGCGTTTTGGCTTCGTCCCATAGTTATCGGTGGAACAAATTGTTCCATTGTGGTGTGGGAAAGAGCATTTGAAGTCGTGGAACTATTGCCCCAAATGGATCGTGCGGCATAAGCCCGTGCTTCTCGTTCCTCCTCTCGAATCTTTGGTCTCTTGAATTTGCGGCGGATATAGAAGATAAGTGCGAGGAGGGCTAGGATGCCAACTGATACATGTTAGTACTGGAAAGCGCTCATGAGGGAGAATAGTACCAATTGCTCCTGTTACTGCAAGTATAGTTACAGTCTCCTTGTTCGAGCCAGCTTCATTGGGAGATTGCTTCGACGAGATACCCGGTCCTGTAGTCTGGCTTGTGGCTATCTCTGAGGAAAGCGTTGAGGAACTTTGACGTGATCTTGTAGAAGCTGGGAGAGCGGTCGCTGATGGTGTAGTGACTACGGGAAGGGGAGTGGTCTGCAAGGAAGTGGATGTACGTAAACTTGTGAGTGCAACAGATGTCTTCGATACTGGCGTCGTCGTTACTTGAGACAATGTGCTTGTGGTCGTGCTTGCTGAAGCCAATGACTGAGAAGACTTGGAAAGTGAGGTCAGCGACGATGTGGATGTCCTTGTCTGACTAGAAGATTTGCTGCTCTCGTCTTGGGAGGGACTATCATCATCATCGGAAGAGGCTTTGGTATCTCCGGCATCCTTTGCCTCGTCATCGTCTCCTCGTCTCTGATGACGCCTGTTGCGAAGGCCGCCTCGTTCTCGTCGCTCTCTTTGCCGGCGACGAAATTCCGCTGTGACAGCGCTCGTCTCCAGAAAAGTCATCTGGAAGTCGTTTCGGTCGTCCAGAAGCCGCACAAGCGTTGATACCGCAATAAATGCTGGAGATGCTCATGGATCTCTCTTTATACAAGAAACTTCAGATTGCTATCATATGATAGAAGTGCAATGGCGCGAGATGAATGAAGAAGAAATCAACGAGAAGAGAAACGAGAAGTATATGTGAAATGCCATACTGCATGGCTAGTAAATGCTTAGCAGCCAAGCCATCGAGACTCTTGGAAGAGTCCTCAGCGACACTTGGCGAATGATTGACATCTCTGCAGTCTTCGAACCTGGATACGAAACCAGGACCAAAACGGCAAACCAACAGTTCGTTCACATCGACATCGCGGCACAGTAGCTTGTGGGATAGTCGACTCTTGTATGGTTCAAACAGGAAGATCGGCAGAAGCCGTGGGTCAGAGCACAAACTTTACTTGGCGATTGTTTCAAGTCCCAACCCTCAAGAACCTTCGTGATACTACCCAGACCTTGGCTGCTACGACAAGGCAGGCATCATCTCTCGCCGGTAGTGTATGAGAAATAGGTTGACCAATTGTAAGCGCAAATTCCCGCAATGGAGAAAGAAAAGTCGTAGGGAGGACGAATACAAAACTCGAAGTCTAGTAGCGCCGTGCACAGCTCTCGACGAACGACGGTACTTCGAAATTTTGGAGTAGACATTTGATTAAAACAGAAATCTGGCACGCGATCAGTCACTTACTGATAATGTGGGTATGTTCGAGGCATAATCCTACGTTTGTCAATGTTGGTAACACAGCTTATGATCTTGGCTGTAACAATTTGGTAGACTTGAAGCAAAATTCGAATGAAAAGTGATCAGCACAAAAAAATGTGAACGTGAAGACAAATTATCATTTGAGCAGACACAAAGCCACACCTTGTGCTATGAACATGCACACCAAAACTCCACGGAAGTAGGAACAGTAATACCATTAAACAATTACCATCTTCAATTAACCCCGCATCTCTTCTATATCACATCACTAACTTTTACCCCAGCAAAATTTGTCCCATCATAAGTCCCAATCTGATCAACACCAGCCCTAAAACTCTCCGGCGGGCCCAAATAACTGTACCTCACACCTCCCAGATCAATGATAATCTTCTGAACCACGATGCCAGGATCCACACACCAGATTTTCAGGGTATGTTTGCCAGTCTGGCTCAAGTTGTGTCTCGTGGTAGTAGTATTCCCACTTGCACTCATTCCCCAGACACCGTCTGAGACGGCTCCGCCCCATCCTGCGGGCATATTGCCGCCGGTATAGCTGCCGATCGGTTGAATGACTTGGGGAGTCTCGTTGTCGACGGCTATGCCGTATTTTAATGGGTCTGCATTGCCTTTCTGATTGAGAGATGGAGAGAGGAGAAGGGTGATGTTCGCGTTGGAGACGTTGGTGAAGGTGTAGATATCATATTGGAGGACCGGTCCAGTGCCAACTGGTTGTGATGGAGCGGTGACGGGGGTCAGGGTGACGCCTGAGAGCGTACGACCGTAGGAGGGAAGGGTCATGTATGAGACGCCGTTGACAGCAGTGTTCATCGTTGTGTGTTCTGCTTCAATGGAGATATGCTTATCTGATTCAATGAAGCCTGTGAAATTTGATGGGACAGCCACATTGGTGACTGGTACAACAACAGTGGGATGCGGGTAGTTGCCCCAAGCAGATCCACAGCCCGATGTTATATTGATGGTGACCATGGTGGTGTTTGGTGCTGCTGGTGCTTTCGTCCAGTCGATTGAGACGTAGGCGCGAGTATCAGTGCCATTATCCCCACCAGTGAAGCCTGTAGACGGAGAGACTATCACGTATGGTTGGGCGGATGCGAGTGTCCATTGGCAGCCAGCTAATCCGCGAGAGAAAACATCAATCCACCGAGTCTGTGGGCCGTATGGATCCATAGGTGGGAGTGTAAGGGTATCGCCCGAGTTGGCATGATATGCATCGTCCCCAGATACAGTTGCGTTCGAAGCTTCAACTCCTATGCCAAGATTTCCAGCAAGAGATGTCTCCAGGTTTTGCACAAATGATAAGGGTGGAGCCGTGTTCCGCATGGGTTGTTGCCAGTATCCGTAATAACCAAGATGAGTTTCTGCAGAAGTAAGCTCTATTCAATTCTTCGGGATTTCGTACTTACGATCAAGAATATGATTCCACTTTCCATCCAACAAATCATGATATCTCTGTGTTAGTGTATGATCTTCCGTGAACCACTCGAGAACATCCATAGCCACCCCATTAGCACTACTCCTCTTCTGCTCAACATATTGAGCATTCTTCGCAGCTTGGATGTAAATTTGTTGAATAGCCTGACCTCCAAGCACAGGTTGGAGAATCATCTCATAATAAGCAGCTTGGTGATCGTCATCCAAGTCGTCATAGACTTCTTGTGCATCCGAAGCGAGCTGTTTCCATTGAGCAAGGATGGCATCTGCTTCGTTGTAGTTGATCACACTATAGAAGCTGGGATCCAAGAGTTCGTATTTCCTTCTTGCAGAATACATGCCATAACGATCCAGGATGGAAACGATAGCTGGAGCATGTTCAGAGTCAAATTCTCGAGTGGCCCAGAGCTGCAGCCAAGTAGGAACACTACTATAGCCCCACATTGAAGTATCGTAGGCGAGATCGAGGAAGTGGTTGATCGGAATCTCGAGGGGCTTCAAATCACCTACGTTGAGGAGCCAAATCTGATTTGCTTGGCGAGCTGAAGCGAGTTGCATCTGTATTGCTTAGCATCGGTTTCAAGAGCAAAAAGGGGGTGCGAACCTGTTCAACGGTCTTTGAGAGCTGGATAGTGTTGATCCATTTGTAATCTCTCGGATCTCCGACATAATCTATGTGATAGTAGACACCTTCTATTGTTAGCATTCCATGTTACTCTTCTCAACTTTAAACGACTCACCAGCACCACCACTCCGTATAGTCTCATTTCCAACAGGCAATCTCCGAATGTTCCCCCAGTTATCGTCCGTCCAGAGCAGCGTGACATCATCGGGTACTGTCAGCCCCTCATTCTCATAGTAGCCCTGAACTTCTTTGTATAGACACCACATTTGAGGAATATCGGACACGTTCGTCCCATTAAAGACTTCTGTGAAAATTTGCCGCTGAGCCTTGATAGTTGCCTCGAGCACGACAATTGCTTGAGCATCCGAAAGACCAATGGATGTATCTCCGCTACCTCGCATAGCCACTGTGAATAGACTGTTAGAAGCGTAAGGCTTCGCTCTCTGGGTACCGTATGTGAAGAATGGAATGATGGATGCGTTATTCGAATTGAAAGCCCACTGGCCATTCCCTCCGTACTGCGTCCCAAAATTGTTCCATTCGTTCGTTGCTCGCATCATTGGTTCTGAAATATCAGCCTCAAGTCCAATTCATATTTATCTTAGGTTTACTCACCAGTATGGCTCGTACCCATCACGATACCATAGGCATCAGCTAACGGTTGATTGGCTGTATCGTCCACATTAAACATACTCGCCCACTGAGCTGGCCAGAAGTAGTTTGCCCTCAGTCTAAGCAACAGCTCGAAAACATGGGAGTAAAAGTAATGATTGAAGCCTGGTCCGTATTTTCCAGGAGCATAATTATTACTGTTTGCGTCAGCATCTTCTCTTCGCTGCTCCTTCTGAAGATACGTACTTGATCCAATTCGTCAAAGCAGGTTGCTCATCATTGATGAAGATCCCCCTATACTTTACACTTGGACTCTTCTGCACTTTCTTCACTCCATTCGCATAGAGGGCATCCTGACTCTTTGGAGGTACATCGGCCCACCAGTACTATAGACAAATCAGTATGCACTTTCGAGAGGGCCCTAGGAGACAAAGGGCTCATCCGAGAAGTTTCTTCAAGCGCAACTCCCGATGACAATCCCGAAGAGCTCGGCTCCTAGGATGAATGCAAGACGACGTACCCACGGACTGACACCAATCTGCTCGCTGACATCGTAGAGTCCATAAATTGTGCCTCTCATATCACTTCCCGCAATGACCATGGCTTTGTCCACGCCTGGGACGGGAGAATCGATGACTTGGGAAATGAATGATTCCCAATTTCCAGTAATGGAAGACACATCGAGTTTTTCAGAGGAGATCATAGAGTTGATGACGTCTGATTTGCCTATTGTGCCAGCGATAATGACAGTTGTGATAGCTTTACTCTCGGACATGGTGATGAGTGTGGGTCCAGTGAAGTTTTGAGCCGGGCCAACTGTATACTAGATTCGTTCAGCTGTTGTTAAAAAGCAGTACGGACCAGCTTACGTTGATTTCGTTTGTAGTAGGATTGAAGACATAGAAAGCATTGTTGCTGCTGCCCTGAGTTTGCACCACATCATGTACTGAGCTGTTCGGTCCATTGCCATCGACCCAGCTTCCGCCAGGATGAGTCCCATTTCCTACAGCAGGAGACGCCCACCCTGAAGCTCTCTTCTCTGCACCTGCATCTCGTTTCGAGGCGCCACTTGACCAGTGTCCCAATGTCAAATTCTTCCCCGTGACCTTGCCAAAGTCCCCAGCCAGATCCTCTGCTGCGCGAAGCACACCAAACCAATCATTCGCACTCAGGAGAATCTGTCCAGACTGGCCGTGGCCAGCAAGCATGAGCGATCCCGCGCCAGACTGCGTGGTAACGGTCGCATTCTGACCCAGTGCACTCACACTGGAGCAGAGAGACGCAACAGCGATGAAAACAGAGAGAGCCTTCATCGCGACCTTGTCTGAAACAAGTGGTAAGGACGACGAAACAGAGGCGAAAAGATGCGGACGAGGAACATTTAAACTTACCTGGGCCAAGAGCGGATAAATGAAGCAAAAGAGACTATCCTTACCTCTCGTCAACGTACAAATGCGGATCATTAGAGTGGACTATGGAATGACCATGGAGCCGACGGTCCCAGTCCCGCCTCTGAAAGTTGAGAGGCTGGTGATCGTCCGGTTCAACGGATGAGAAGACCTGGATATACGAGATAAAAACAGCACGTAAAGAAATTGGTACCTTGCATTTAATCAAATCATGCCGAGAAAAACGATTGTTGGAACTCGCCTTAGATTATCGAATAGCACAAGAGTCTTGAATTGAGGGGTGGCTGCGGAGTCGGCAGAATGATTTCGCGGGGTAGATTGACACGATGCATTTAGCCTGAAGACCATAATCCACTCCAGAGTATAATTTTGATTATAGTGTCTGCAGCTCGGATGTTGCCTGAGAACTAAAGGTTAGTAGTAAATAATTGCACCAATCAAGACTCTTGGAATCATTGCCTAAATAGAAAAGTACATTCACGTGTAACAAAGTCGGAACCAACTTTGGCGGGGTCTCCCCAAGATTGACCACTCTGTCGGTTTTGGAAGCAGTCTTATTGCAGCTCTCTAGAGGGAGCGAGCCAAAGGGATGGAAGCGAGTTTCAATCAGGTCAAAGCAAATACGAGAATGATCTTGATTCAGAAGAAGTGCACAATGTGGAGATCGCCAACCTTCAGGTACTTACAAAAGCTGCATGTCCCAAGTCGATTCTCTTCCAAGTGCAGCTGTCAAGACCATTCCAACATCCCATCACTTGTATTTTCCGTCTTGCCTGCTTAACTTACCAGGCGTAGGATGCAGAACTCCTAAGTAACGCTGAACACAACAGAATCTAAGTAGGGGTCTTGCCGACTTAGCTGCTCTTCCACCACCCATGCCCGAACTATCTCTCGTTCGATGTAGTTGCTTTTGAGTCGTCGAGATCGCTAATGGGAGTGAATATGTACGTGTCGAAAAAAGCCAAAGGAAAAAGGACGAATGAAAGTCGGTAGACCTGCCGAAGCTCCATCATCTTCATGTGTCGACTTTGCCGGCAACACCTGGTAATGTAGTGGCATTGACAAGTGCTGTTTCAGTGTTTCCTTCTGGGACAAATGCGTACCTGGGCATTTTGGCCATTCTCTCTTCCGGACTCAACTCATTGTCGGAGTAGAACATCTTGGTTTGCTTCTCCTTCTTTGACTTCTTCTCATTTTGTTCGGGCTTGTCGGGCACCTCGGTCTTCTCGACTGCTTCAGGCTTGATGTCGGGGGCAGGAGTAGGTGTGGCGGTAGTTTCCAATGCTTGTACCGGGGTTGATACACGTTCTCCTTTCTTTGGGGGCTTGATACCTGCTTCAGCCATTCTGATAATCTCGTCAATGTCATCAGCCTCTCTGGCAGCACCTGAAACCAGGTCATCCACCGAAGAGGCGTTAGTCGAGTAATCTCCATAACCTTGTGAGTGAGGAGGATAAGCTGATGACATAGCTGAATTCTGATCTTGACCTTTCCATCCATTGCCTTGCCATCCACTTTGTGGGGGACCTTGATGCATTTGTTGCATTTGATATGGGGCGACCGCTGGAGCACCGAATGATGGACGTTGTGGAAGGCCAGGCGCAGCAGGTAAACTGGGCGGGCGACTTGGCAGACCGCCACCATGCGGAGGAGTTTGCGAAGGTTGGCCTTGGTAACCATTGAAAGAGCCAGGTGGTGAGCCAGCTCCAAATTGTCCTTGCTGGAAGCCTTGTTGAAAGCCATTACCAGGAGGAAACGACTGTCCAGCCTGGAACGACTGCGCGGGCGAGTATTGAGGTGGGAATGAGGAGCCTGGGGGGCCGGAGAAGGGAGCCTGCTGATACGATTGTTGGTAGGCTGGCGTTGGTTGTGTGTATTGTTCTTGAGAGAATGAGCCATAACTACCAGCAGCTTGAGGAGCAGTATAGCCACTCTGCGGAGGAGGGAAGGGAGATGCATTCTGCCAATCTATTAGCTTTGCACAGGATGAAGAGGATTCGGACACTCACAAATGAACCTGGGCTCTGTCCAAGAGGACTGTTTTGTGCACCAGGAGTATTGCCACCACTGCTTCCACCCGCAGCCTGTTCCGCCTTTCGTGCTTTGTGTTCCGCTAAGCGCTTCTTGAGATCTGCCGGGGACTCGAACTTGGGCTTCTTCGGTTGTCCGCCAGCTTGCGCACCGGGTCCAGGATTACCGGTTGCAGCTCGTCGCTCAGCCTCCGCTTGGTAGAAACCTGCGATGATGCGCTGATTATGTGCTTGAGCAACATCTTCCGGGATACCTTCCATACCAAAGATTTCCACCTCCAGTCCTTGTCTGTTTGGTAGGGAGTTATCGACGCTGGTCAGAGTCTCTTTGTGGACTTGATTCATATGGACGGAGAGTCCTGCGCCTCGTCAGTAATTGATTGGAAAGCCTGACACGCACAACTCACCTCCTGCAGTGTTCAGTCGACGGCCGCATCTTTCACATTTGAAGTGTTTAGCCTTTTGATGGGAGATGAGGATCTTAAGGTCATCGAAATCACGCTCACCTTTGACACGTTAGCATGTTGGCCGCTGGTGAACAGGACGTGGAGAAACCTACAGTAGTAGCACCAGGGACGAGCGAGGAGTTCCTCAATGTCGGGATGACCGCGCTTCTTCTTCCCAACCATTTCGACGATGCTCAGCGAGAGCGACAATAGATATCGTTGATAATTGTTGTGGTGGAGAAGAATTTGGAAGGCTTGAATGATTGATGATCCGCCGAAGCCGCTAACCGGCGCTAGGCTACTGTAAGACTAGATTGGAAACCTTATTTGGGACCAATTTTGTCTCGAAAAATTCCCAGAGAAATCTGATGCAAATACGATCAGATCAGTCTTGATATTTGCATAGAAGCAAAAGAACTCTAACATTGAGACGCTTCTATCTCTGCCATTGGCAGCAAAGGTCTAGTAACATTCTTCTCCCAATCACAGAACCTTCCGCAGCACCTTGATCAATCACTCAGCCTTCGTGGCACCATATGAGCCCTTCTTTGAAGGCCTTTCGGCATCTTCGCGTCTTGTGAAGAGGTCGAATGGAGATTGAGAAGAGATGTCGCCTTTCGGGACTTCCTCTTCACAGAGGAGTGTTGCAAGACCAATTCAGGGCCATCATAGTCCATGCTCCTTCTCTTCATGAGACCCTGCTACTGGAGTGTGGCTCCTAGAGTACCTACATACACATTCCACCTTCCCCACTAGAAGAGATGCAATGGAACATTCTATGAAAGCTGTTTGCCTCGAGAACTTCTCTTCACGGCGATGTGACCGATGGGACGGGAGTGCAGGTGTCTTCAGCTCAGGTAAGTATCATGTGACTTCTCATGAGATTCAGGCCAAACGTCCAAGCCTCTCGACGCTTGTACTACTCCGAGCCCGAATCAACTTCCCTTCTAAGAGCCCGTGTTCCTGAATGGCTTATCGTATCGATTTGTTATATCCTCTAAACAGGTGATTCTCCAGAGTGGGTCGAATCAAGCTTCTCGGTTCCTCGCTGCAGATGAAAAAAGCAACGTCATCTCAAGGTGCATCATGGTTCGAGCACACTAATCAGACTGCCCTCATGCGTCTGACTGGCTTGAACTTTATCCTTGTAAACTGTAGTTGAGGATTCCTCGAGACTCCGATATAACTTGGAAACTTCACCTCAACCACTTTAAATATTGCTTCATGAATATTAATCGACGACTCCCATTCACCGCGAATCGTCTCTTCTCAACATCAGCCATGTCGCGACAACTCCCTCAGCGTCGGATGTCATCAATCCATAAAGAAACCAAGCCCAATGAAAAGCATCCACAGTTCGGCCACCTACCACTCAGCACCAGTGGTCCGCAAGACTGTGCCTTGACAGGATCAGCTCTTCTCAACACTCCGTACTTCAATAAAGGCGCTGCTTTTCCTTCCAACGAAAGAAAGCAGTTCAAGTTGACGGGACTTCTGCCACAAGATGTGCACAATCTCGACCAACAGGTAAAGAGAGCTTATCAGCAGTACTCGAGCCGGCAAGGTACGTCTCAAGTTCTCAGAGGACAGCTTGTTATTCCTTCCCGTCTCTGAAATTATACTCAAGAATTATTTCACTCAGTGTATTCCTAAAACATGTATCTACTCTCAAAATACCAATGAGAAATACTGACTCCGAGCTTGTGATTACAGATGCGTTGGCGAAGAACACCTTCATGACGTCGTTGGCAGAGCAGAATCAAGTTCTGTATTTCAGAGTGAGCAGTATTCATTTTTCGATCGCACCTACCAATTGATCCACCCTTTATTTATACTACTTTCGGTGGCTACGTTCTACAAGATAATAATCTACACGTGATAGTTCTCTACATCACGTGTGAAGGCTGGTGAACGAAGATGGGCATGGTTCAAAGCTTCCAGAACTTCAATATGCCCATTTCGAGGCATGGGTCTTAGTTTGATCAAGCCAAAATTAAGCCGCTGCCATGTTGGGCAAATTCAAGTGCACTTCGAGCCACCAAAGGTCCCTTACCTGGCAGCTTGCTAACCAGACACAGCTGATTCAAGACCACCTGAAAGAGATGTTCTCCATCATCTACACGCCCACGGAAGGTGATGCCATCCAGAATTATTCCCGTCTTTTCCGAAGACCAGAGGGATGCTTCCTAAACATCAACGACATTGGCCGAGTCCATGAAGATCTCGCTCAGGTACGTCAAATTCTGCCCTTGTCTTGTATTCACTCTGGGAGCCGAGATCTTCGGGATCATCCTCGAGAGCTGTTCATCAAAGAAAATGTGTCACAGCTCCTCGGATGTACTTCTCGGCTCTTGGAACTCTATCAAAATTACATACTGATTTATCCATAGTGGGGTGGCCCAGAGGATATCGACTACATTGTTGTTACAGGTATGTCCTCAGACTAGCACTTCACATCACGCTAATCCTACGCAGACGGAGAAGAAATCCTCGGAATCGGAGATCAGGGTGTTGGTGGCATTCTGATCTCAGTTGCCAAGCTGGTTTTGACTACTCTTTGTGCTGGTATCCATCCAAATCGAACTTTACCCGTCGTTCTGGACTGTGGCACAGACAATGAGGAGCTCCTCAATGACGAGTTATATCTCGGACTACGAAAGCCAAGGACCCGTGGCAAAGTTTACGATGAATTTGTGGACACATTCGTCAAGTCCGCAAGGGAGTTGTATCCCAAAGCATACATTCACTTCGAGGACTTTGGACTACCAAACGGCAAGATACCATATCCTTCTAAAACTATTCTAACAACAATGCAGCACGCAGAATCCTTGATCGTTATCGGCCAGAGATCCCCTGCTTCAACGACGATGTCCAAGGAACAGGCTGTGTTACTTTAGCTGCCATGATGGCTGGCCTCCATGTCAGTGATCTCAAGCTAGCTGATATGCGAATGGTAGTATTTGGTTCAGGAACAGCGGGCACCGGAATTGCAGACCAAGTTCGAGATGCCATTGCAGCCGATAGTGGCAAATCAAAAGAGGATGCAGCGAAACAGATCTGGTAAGACTTGTCGCGTCTTCATTTGAATCTACTAACAAAGTTAGGTGTGTTGACAAACCTGGCCTTCTGCTCAAGAGCCAGGGAGACAAACTCACTCACGCCCAAGTTCCATATGCCCGCGAGGACTCCGACTGGTCAGGAAAGGAGCACTCCAATCTCCTCTCCGTTATCAAAGAAGTAAAACCGCATGTCCTGATTGGTACCTCGACACGCCCTAAAGCTTTCACTGAAGAAATCGTCAAAGAAATGGCCTCTCACGTGGATCGACCTATCATCTTCCCTCTTTCCAACCCGACACGTCTTCATGAAGCTGATCCCAAGGACATTAATCAGTGGACCAAGGGCAAAGCTTTGATTGCTACTGGATCTCCATTCCCACCTGTTAAGTATGAAGGGAAAGAATATGAAGTCGCAGAATGTAACAACTCGACCTGTTTCCCTGGCATCGGACTCGGTTGTGTACTCTCTCGCAGCAAGCTCTTGACAGACAAGATGCTCGTTGCAGCTGTCAAGGCCCTTGCTGCACAATCACCTGCTCTGAAAGATCCGGACAAGGGACTTTTGCCAGATGTCGTGAATGTTCGAGAGATCAGTGTTCATATCGCAAGAGCAGTGATCAAGCAAGCGGTCGAGGAAGGCGTGGCAACAGAGGAAGGGATTCCGACAAATGATGAGGATCTGGAAGAGTGGATCAGAGAGCAGATGTGGGATCCTGCGTATAGACCATTGAAGCTGGTCGATAAGCAGACGGCGAACAAGCATGCAAAGGGACAGTCGGGTACTAAGGGACAGAAAGGGGACCTTTGAGAAGTTCGTTATCTCTTTACCTTTCATTTTTCAGGAGAGTAGTATATTGCAGATAGACATCAGACATTTCGTTGCTTTTGCATACTGCCAACTTGGTCAAGAAATCTGAGCCCCGGTCCATCTCCCACCAAATTGGGGACAACAAGGTAAGAATGAGCCTAACACCCGCTCCCAGAAGGGAACTGCGCTTCTATCACAACTGCATGTGATGGGATGAGAATATCATATGATTCACTTCGATTAGAGCGGCTCGTGGTTGGGATTACTAATTTTTTTGCATTGAAGAGATCAAGGCAGTGATTTGTTCGCTCTGTCAAATCTTGCTCAACCTCCCAGCCTCATCCTGACGAACAACTCCTAATCTCTCATTCCAACCTCCCCAGTTCTTAGCACTCCCTTCCACTGTTCCACTGATGACCGGATCTTCCCTTCTATCACTCTTTTTTGCCATCTGTCCATACATCAAGTAGTTTCGAGAAGCGCCCATAACACATAGTTTCTCGGTCACCCACGAGACACTGCATCGCAATCCCAGCGTTGATGTCGCTCCCAAGCTGATCCCAAACTCTCCAAAAAGTTCGTGCCGTTGAAAGTTCAGCGACCCTCCCTTTTCACACTGAAAGAATTTGACTTGCTGTCACCCGTTTCCGATAATGCTCCACGGATAGAGGTGAATGCCTTGGCGCCGAAGTCATTCCAAAGACCCCTGAAATCCCACCATTAGTATGAAAACTGTCATCTGGGAGGTAAAAATAAGCTTACCCACGAGTGCGACCGAAGGTAGCAAGATTGAGAGCGTCCACGACTTCTGGAGCTGATTCAGGATGCGAGAGGTGTTCATTTTGTCGTCGAAAATCCGAATGGTACTGAATGTTTGAGGTTGAGAGAAAGACTTTGTAGGTTTTGAGATCAAGTATTCTGGAGTTCGTGGAATGTAGGAACAAAGAATGGGCTGTTTGGGTGGTCGTCGCATTTATTGTCGTTCGATGTTCAAGATGGGCAGATTTGCTGGTCAGCAGAAATATATATCTTGGTTCCTATTGGCTGTCGGCTTATCCGCTGAACACCTCAGTGTCTCAGCCACAGTCCCACACCGCCGAAGCGAGCCAAACAGGGCGCAGCCGCAACGCAAGTGTTTCTTGGAATATCATGCCAGAAACCTAAAAGTGTTCGCACATTGGCATTGAGGCACGAGAGTGAGTAGCAATGAATGGATTGATGCAGGATGTTCATAGAAATTTGCCAATATATTTGTGATTAATGGATGAGGTGGGTTAGATGCAGTGTAAATGCACTGCACGTGACCGGGAGTTTTTGCTCACAAAGAGTCTTACCTAGGTAGGGTACCTCAGCCCTGAAGACGACCATTTCAAGTCTGAGATTTGCTTCGAAGTCTTTAATTTGATCGGCATTTGAAGCTTCAGAAAATTTTTGAAGTCCTTAGGAACGGAGATCAAAGTAGCTCTTTCCAGATCGGCAAGCATCGATCAAGGTAGGAATCTGAACTGCTGCTTGTTGTCCCTCCACACTCATCTTGAGGCTCAGAGAGCATTTTTTTCATTTGCTTCACATACTATGCTATTTTCCTGGAGTTCTCAATATCATGAAGTGCGCTTGATCACCACCAGCACCGTGAAATCTTCTGGGATCTCCCACGACGGTTTTTACCTACTTAATGACACCAACTGGCTTCAGGATATCCGGCATAACTTTGTGACTCGAAGGTTCCATGTCCACAGTAATCAGATGGTGATGTCTCTCGACGATAGTTCAAACGCCAAAAAGTCAAGGCTAGAGCACGGGCCCTTTTCATGATGCCCTTATGGAATTAGAATTTGGTAATGTGAAAACATCACGATGTTGACTCAACTTTGTAGTTCCACTTAGCTCATGGACAGGTAACAGAAAGCAGTATATAAGACCTTCTTTCTCCCACTTTCAGTTTCTTCTTTTCTTCCCTCACGCACACCAATACATTTCTACACTTTCGGCCAACACGCATCCAACAGGCAATTTCAAATGCCACCTCATTGAAACAAAACAACAACGTCGACCAAGAAAGTAAGTATTTCACTTCAAATTCCAACAATCACAAAGATCGATTGATCTCATGGTGGCATGCTGCCTCACCTGCCTACGCATCGCACCTTCCGCACACACAAAGATGGCTGACTTTCGTAGACAATCAAAAGAAAAATGGCTCCCAACAGCACGAAGTGCAGCAAAGCATGATCACAAGCATTTGCAGCTCACGAGTAAGTCAATCTTGCATTCTTGTATTCTGACTATCGTCCTCGACAAGAACGTTCTGAACAGGCGCTGATGAGAGGAGCAGCGACCTCTTCCAAATGTCAAACACCACCAAACAGAACAATTCGCAATGCCAGTAACAATCTGTAAGTACCATTTCAGTTTCTTCGCAAGGCTCTCGTCGTTTTGCATAAACTTTTTGCACTTTCCAACGTTGCGATCTCGCTATCTGCATTCTCCATGCTTTCCCCTCTTTTCTCGCTCTTGATTTTTCACAAATTCGTAAATTTTCGATTTGTGTGTGTGTGTGCGAACACCATATCTTCTATGATGAGTACATGTGAAGGAAAACCCTGGGCCCTTGTTGATATGACTATTTCTGATTTTGAGTTTGGCTCGCCTAGCAGAAAAGGGGAAGGTCTGGCGTCACGTGTCGCACAGTTCTTTTCTCTCAGCTGCGAGGGCCTCGAGAGGCCACTCCTTCGTTGGTCAGAAGGCGATAGTATCTTTCTCTGATGTTGATTCTTTGGCCGTTCTAGATCTTTCCACGCACCCAACTTGGACAATGTCTGGAAATCATCAAAGTAATCGAACAAGTTGTCACCAACGAAGTGTACTCAGTCAAGCAATCCATCAGATCTGGCCGAAATTCAACGAATGGTCGAAAAAACAACAATTTCGTCCTTGCCGCCAAAGTCCTGGCCGAACTTTTCTGCAGTCAAACACTCAAATATTCGCCATCAAGTCTTGACATCCTCAAAATGCACCTCAAAAACACTCAAGTTGAATCGACAAAATACAGAAAACAACAAACTTCCAGCTTCGCTCACGAATTTCAACAACTTGATTCAAGCACTTCTCAAAATCTTCACAACAATCATGCCCATTGAGGAATTTGAGAGATGGATGAGCAAGCACTACTATCTCGTTGATTTCACATCACCAAAGCTCTCCGACGCTTGCTCTCCTACGCTGGTGCGAGAAGAGAAATCACATGAAGGAAATAGGAAAGCCGAACAATGACTGTATGTATCAATCTTGGAACTTTGAACGACACTGCTAATCTTGAACAAGAAAAACCTTCGGAGACAATCAAACACCAACTCGAGAGCCAATTGGACCAAGACATCATTCGAAAGAGACTCGTGAGTTGCTCGTCTTACTGACCTAGATGGCTGCTGACTTCAACCGGAACGCAACCTCAATTTGGAGGTCCAATGTCCACCACCGAGAACAACGCAGCCGGGCCCGACAGCTAAGCACCTCAGCACAAAGTCACCACCAACATGGATCATTGCTATCATTGCTATCGACGACCTGAAACGTGCAAAGCCACAACAACTGCGAAAAAAAACAAAACAACACACTCCGACGCTTCACATGAGGTTCTGCTTCTGTCTCAAGCAGAACTGGAAGATCGGAAAACAAGAGAACAAACTTGATGATTGGAAACCATATATGCAGACATTCTTTCTTCTGTGATTTCATAAGCACGCGCCTTTCCTATTCGATTTCAGTCATGACTGAAAGCGTCCCGCTGAGGCTCTACTCGGGCTCGGTACTAGAATCACGAAGGAAGACTACCATGCCCTAACTTGATTGTTTACATTCTCACAATGAAAACGATGAGCCCATGAGACAGGCACAGAACTCGCAGAGAGAAATTTCACGAGAGGCCTTGCCTCCGCATCTCTTTACATGAGTCAAAGGAAGCAGAGCAGAACAGAAGAGTGTCGTCGAGAATGCTCGGAGTTTCGGAGCAAAAGGCTTGGCATTCACGTGGTCGGTAATTTTGATGCTTCACCAGCCTAGTATGTCTCGACTCAAGTCCTTCCTCCTTCACTACATTATCAAATTCATCTATTTCCATACTCAATTTCTGCAGCTTTTGGAAAATCTTTGTTCTCTCACGTGTCGGATATCTATCCCGTCCAAACATAAGCTTCCGGAGGTTTCTCCAGCCACTCCACTCCACCTCGCGACCAACGATCTCCCGCTTTCCGAGCTCGAGATCTCTCGCCAACCAGAATTGCATCTCACTTCTTACTCTGCAGATCAAAACCTCCATCGTTCTCCTTGGCATCACACGACCATCATACTGCAACAAATCAGATTACACACTTCGGACCACAAATCTTGATTACAATGCTTGATGCACAAGTGTATACCGAAAATGTTTAGCTCTAGTCAGCGTACCGTCGTGCCAAGTGGGCGGCTATCCAGAATCTGGCTCCGACTTTTCCGAACATGGGAATCGCGCGCATGACGGTCCTCCTCTTCCATCCCACCAAATTCACCAAAAGGTCGATATGCTGTGTCAGGACTCAGGAAGGACTACCTGATGGGTCCGGTAATCAGTTTGTTTGTCTCTTCATGTCAAGATCCTTCTGTGTTTCTCTCCCTTCTCTCCCTGCGTCGCTCTTGGCGCTCTGCTTTTTCTGAGAGTAATCACTGTCTGCAAGTCGCTCACAATTCACTCTGCATATCTCGGAAACCTCGGGACCTTGCTATTCACGTCATATTTTAAGCTTATCTCCAGCCGCCCCGGAGCCTCATAAAAGGCCCTGGGACACCACCACACACCCAGCAGTGACATTCTGGTGACATTCCACGCGTCAATATGGGTGGGATAGGCGCGGTTGCTGAGCCCCTCGTGGTCATTGCTCTACTTGTTGGCGGCACTTGGATCAATCGAGATTTCGAGCCTGGGAGAAGGAGACGACCGAACGATACGCGAAGAATTTCAAACGATGCAACGTACAGAGATATCGAGGAAGATGGAGAAGCGAGGTCGACTTCGCCATCCTTGCTGGTTACACAAGAGCCGGAATGGAGAACGAGAACGCTTGGTGCGTGGGGTATAAAGAAAGAGGTCACTACACCGAATACTAGGAGGTTCAGAGGTTACTTTCTGAGTCGCCTGCTCGAAAAGTTTCCATTCTTGGTCGAATGCTGGTACTGGGCTTTGATATACTGGGTAATCCCCTCTAATAGATTTTCTGGCAATCTACTAACAGCAGAAGGTCTACCAACTCGGTCGCGCCGCAACAGCTGTCTGGATCGTCGAAGGCACTGTATTCGCCGCACGAAAACATGCTCTACAAGTAATCGCCATGGAGGAGAAACTGCACATGTTCTTCGAACTTCCTATCCAACGTTTCTTCATGCAGAACCAATTCATCATGACTTGGATCAACCGCACATACTCCTTCATCCACATCCCCGGCTCGATCGCATTTCTCATTTGGCTCTTCTACTATACCAATACACGGAATAGACTTGATGAAAGTCAGCGCGGCAAAGACATAGGAGAGGTGAAAGGTTCGCCAGCTGGTCCAAGATTGTACGAGTCGAGGAGGAGAACTATGGCTTTCTGCAACTTACTTGCTTTTGTCATCTTTACCGCGTGGCCTTGCATGCCTCCCCGCCTTTTAAGCGCAGACAACACCCAAGACGAAGCTGGCAAACTCGCTCGAAGCTATGGGTATGTTTCCCCTCATCTCCGCTGATATTACGCTTTACTGACAGCCGCAGATTTGTAGACACTGTCCACGGTCCCGGAGGCGAAGGTTCAATATGGACCGACAACCGCTTCACCAATAAATTCGCCGCCATGCCATCCCTCCACTTCGGATACTCCCTCCTGATCGGCCTAACAATCGCCACCATCCCATTAAATCCCTCACATGAATCCTCCAGCTCATTCATCCTCCCATTTTTCAACCGCTCTCACCCCTCTCTGGCACCCAAAATCACGCTTCCCTCCTGGCCACGCATGCTCTGCATCGGCGTTGGGACTTTCTATCCAAGTCTGATCTTGCTGGCTATCATTGCTACGGCGAATCATTTTATTCTTGACGCTGTAGCGGGGAGCTTGGTTTGTGGGGTTGCGTGGTGGGGAAATGATGTTCTGTTGAATCTGTTGGTGGTGGAGGATTGGTTTTTGTGGGTCGTTAGGATTCATAAACCGGAGAGGGTGGTGGTGGACGTTGATGAGGATGATTTTATGGGGAAGGGGGTTTTGAGGAGGTGAGTGTTGTGAGGTGAGGGGGTGGAGAAGGTGGAGAAAATGGTGGGGAGTAATAATATTTTTTGGGTGCATGGGACAAGAACGAATAGAGATTGATACCATTTTGGGATATACTCAACTGCAGCGTTACGAATATGACAGGTTTACCATTTGCTTATGCAGCTTGTTGTTCGACACTTTGGCTCCACTGTCTTGCTCGCTTGTACTCGATCACTCTCAGAGTCCCAACCTCGGCATAGACTCTTTCAAATTGCAATGTTGACTCGAAATGTGCAGTAATTTTCCTCGTTCCAAATATACATCTTGATACATACATACATGCATACAGCTATACATTACCATTCCTCAAACTCATACAAATCGTAACATCGTCACCGCTCCAAACTCCATATTCGACCTTTGCCGTCCTTGTTTGTACATAACTCTATCGAGGCCCTGCTCTTAATCCTATTCTTTGTGGCGTTGGCCATTATTCTATTCCTATGAGCGTTCTAGGCCGCGCAACTTTCCGATTTGTTTCGTTGAACACCTCTGCCATTCATAGAATGTCAATTTACGTCCGCTGTGTTGGTCAGCACAACTCAGCTTGAAGCATTTTGTGGAAGAGTAGCTGACCATCACCTGGACGCTGTCCTCCATTCTTGGCCACTCTCATCCGCCCCTCTTACATAGTACTTCAAGGAACTCCATGTCTCACACTAGAATTACCACCCATTAACTCTCTCAAGCGCCATTGAACCCATTCCCATTCCCGTTCACCCCATTCGCACTAAGATTCGTGCCGGTCCGTGCTGCCGGACTCATAAATGATATTTGTCTCTCTCGACCAGGCTTGGCTGGCATGGCTATGACTTTGGCGAAGGCTTCGGACGATGCTTCGTGGTCGCGGACTCGGCGCTCGTGCTCACGCACTCGTTCTTGGTGTCTTCGGACTTCTTGGGGGTGTGTTGTTAGCTTGGTTCTTGAAAGAATTTGTTTTGCGTTGCAAAAGTAGCTGCTCTCCTTCTCTGCTCGCATTCGGAAGACCTCCTTGCTAAGCGACCAAAATGAAGTCCCATCGCGAATGCAGCCCATGGAAATAAATGTACGTACCTTCCTGATGTAATCTTACTTCCTCGGCATGCTTCAAAGCCTCTGCCTCGTAGTACTGCCTCATTTCATATTCCTCCTGCGCAATCCTATCCTGCTCCTTCGATATCCTCGCCATCTCCTCTAACATCCTTTCACGCTCCTCTGCCATCAATTCCGCTTCTCTCGCTCTTTCGTCCGCTTGCCGTTCATACTCCAACATCTGGGGAGTCCTCGTCCCTCTCAGAACTGGAGCCTGAGACGCCATCGTGTTGAGTCTCGGCAGAGACGCAAATGTGAAAAGTTGCTGTTGTGGCTGCTGCTGTTGCGGTGGAGGAGGGTTGAAAGGGTTCTGAATGAGAGGAAAGGCGGTAGGTGCAGTCGATGGAGCAGTCGAACCCGATTCACCAGTCGAAGAAGATGCCGAGGAGGTGGACGAGGAAGATGGAGAGCGGGGTTTCGAGCCGGAACGAAAGACTTGCTGAAGCGGGATTCGTGACAATGACATCTATCACGAAGACGAAAGGAACATCAAGGGCTAAAGAAATAAGAATCTGTCAAGAAGGGTTGTGCACAGCACAGAATGAATAAAAATCAAGCTAGCTTGATAAGAATAGAATTTAAAATAAAATAAAATAAAATTAGTTTTCGGGCTCCATTCGTGCAGCAAAAGTTTGGATGCAGGTCAAAGAGGAGAGCTGTGCGTTGTCTGCTGTGGTGACAGGTGTCTCTTGGAATCCACTGTTGGCCAGGGATGGAGGTATCAGGTCATATACCCAGCTCTGTGGAGTCTCCCCTCTTGGAACCTCACCTCTCATACGATGGAAATCTCATCATCTATCGACCTATTTCGAGTCAAGCGTATGATCGCCACCAGCATCGCATTTTCGTCTCTCCGTCTCCTCAAGGATCATCCCATCCGATATGGGAACTTCCCTTCAATCAACGGGTCGATAACCTTATTGAGTGGATGGTGAGAAAGAGGGGCACAGGCTTGCGGCGACCGTGATACATAGCTTGCGTCAGATTTGCGCGCGCGGGTCGAGTTGTCACATCAGCTGCGATGATGTTGAGGATCTGAGGCCTGGATAATCCTTTTGCCATCTTGGTAAATCCGGCTCCTCATTCCTGGATTCAGGAATAAGATTTCGATGGTCTCGGCCAGATCTGAGATATACAGCCTGAAGTGAAGATTGCAGAGTTGGAAAGAAGCTTTTCCGCGATAATGATGTTTCCTGTTCGAGGTGTGGAGAAGTAGAGGTTTCAGCCTCCACCGTTTCACCGTTTCAGCCTTGCATTGCAGCGGACGCAGGGAAGCCGTGTTCCGTCGGTTATGAAAAGGGGCGGAAGCGCGAAAGAGAACGAACTTAAGAGATCATGATCTCCAACGGAACCGTTTGGAAAACTCATTCTGACGTGGCGATCAGGATTGGTAGGATTCCGCACGAACGGTGGGGCGAATCCAAGAACTTGTATCTCCAGGAACTGTTGAGAAGACTGCCCATCACGTGCTGCCTCAATCGTCCGATCATCAATCAGGCTGTTGGTGATCAGGAAGCTCTTCGGGAAAGACGTCAAACATTGAGAGTAGCTGCTAACTTTGTGAAGAAGCTCAAGTGGGGTCCCGAAGTCTAGACCGGACGGTGCATTGTCTGAAGGAGGAGTGCGATTGCCAATGCGAGTCTGCCTTTTCAGTGCCTCTTTTTTCGCCTTTGTTCTTGAGAGGTTGTCTCTGATCGAGATTCAGACTTCACGGTTTCCTTACAATCCACTGCTAGATCATCTGTTGAATCGATGATAGATGGCGAGGTATAACTGCTTCTCAGTGGATAGCTGAATGTTGTTGAAGAAGTGGTAGAATTCCATTGCTTCCGGATCCAGGACAGCTCTGTCTCCAGGCTCCAATCAAGCCCTGGTATCTCTACCGGTCGGAATGATATCCCTCATCGACTGCTCTCCCTGCCAATTCCGAAGATAATTCCGAATGCGCACCAATTCTCATGACCGCAAGACTTATGAGGAGAAAAACCATAATCCAGCCTGCGAAATTAAGCAGAATTGCAAACGATCCAAAATGCCATCTCATTATCAACCAAAGTGCAAATATCGGCCAGCAGGTTATTCCCAAGCCTATTCTCTGTCGCAGACTCAAGAAGTGAATCATGGGGACAAATCCACAATCACAGCGCGCAAGGCGAGTTCCGAGGAGAAGGAACGATGCAGAGCCAATAGCACATGTAGTGAAAGCTTCGAGTGCGTACCAGGTCGAAGTTTTTAAGGTAACGAAGATATTGGCGATGGTAATCATCGTGACGTGAGATCCTTGAAAAGGATGAAGTTTCTGAAAGTCCGGGAGCGCAATAACTTGTTGAATCAACTCCTTGCTTCCAGACATGAGACATCCTCGTCTTTGGCCTAGTGCGGGCTTTCATCTTCCTTGATAACCCACATCAATAGACCTTCGATACTCCTCAATGTCCTTTTCGATTGCTCACTCTTCGCGGATGTTGCCAAATTATCCCAAACAATATCCACATTCCAACGTTGTAGATGATTTTGAGCTAAGCGAGCCAATATCTCAAGGTGATAGATTCGAACAACAGGGCGCAAAAGAGGAATATTTTGCAGAATTCCAGGCAGTCTTTATGAGTCCACTTTCTAATCTCCACGAGTGTGAGTTGGAAAGTGGTCATGAGAGTAGCGATGCCGTCGAAGAGATATCCGCAATAGATTGTGAGGTTAGGGAGAATAGAGATGGCGGAAGACATAGTCAAATTAAGATGTGAGAAAGAAGTCTGGAGAAGATGAAAACTTGAACGAACTCCATGGAAGTCTCCCTTGCTTCCCAGAACGCAAATCTCTCCATCTACAGCTTAGTGGGGTCATTCTTCCGAGATGTGAGACATCGCGAACTTGTGAAGAATATTACAATCGTCTTTGCTCACTAAATCACATTGAAAGTTCACGTCAAATTGATACTACTAGTTGTGTCTGAACGACTTTTATTTGCTTGCATAAAGTTCAAAGTATCTACATGAATCGAATCACCATCATCAATCAAGGCAAGCTTCATATATGTCCTACACTTGACTCAGCATCAGGTCGACTTATATTGTGAATGCTGTGAGCAATCATATTCAGCTGTTCATCGAATGCTCCTTACACCTTACGTTGCACATCTTGCAGCAAGCACAAGGCTTCAACAAGTGAGACAGATAATGGAAGTCTCCCCCAGGTAACGTGCTTTTGCATCGTCTACAGAGACCCTCCACCCGTCTCGATACTCCACATTGTAACGTGCGTCCCTGCGTCGCGAGACGCACCCCGTGGCGAGACGAATCTATAGTTTGAAAATTATAAAAAATTTCTTGGCAAGTCTACAAAGTTGTTGTTAACATGTTATTTTCTTTAACTATTTCTCCCTATAGAAATCACTTAGCCATGAAGAAAAGACCATGGTTAATCATGCTGTCGATCGTTTTAATCTGTGACGGCGCGTACGAGAGGGCACAATGAAGGCTTCGTAGACTGCTATATTTCGAAGATACTAAGCTGAGGAGGAAAGGAGGGAGTTATATATACATGATACAGGCGCTAGTGAGCCGGCCTGCTCCACCTGAGTAGCATGTGACGAGTAGTTCAACTCGTCACAAAATCCCGCCATCGATTACCGTTTCGGCTGGTCCCCCTTGCTTAATTACGACTACTGGGGTCTCTTCAAAATTCGGAGCACTTAGGGAGAGTTTCTATGAAGGAAGAATATGGCTTCAAGTTTTGAAGATGCTTAGTGGAGACGTTACGCCGTTCGAGGAGAGGGGTATGATCGCCACATGTTTTAGCTTCAGTATTTAGTGCTTAGTAATGGACACTCGCTTAAGGCGCAAATTACTATATATTCCCTTCAGCCACAATCCTCAGGCCAGATCATGTGTGTGGCGTACAGTCGCTTACAAAATCGGCTTCCCCTCCACACTCGCTCGAAGATTTGGAGCCCTCCTGAACTGATAGGGCTGAGCGAAGTGTCATATGACTAGTACTATAAGCACCAAGCACATCACAACGTCTAGAGAATGACCTCGAACCTTCTAGAATATTATAAGTATAGTATATAGAAGTCGCTTCCCCTACATCTTTCTTTATCAAAATTAAATATTATTGAAAGGAGTGTCCCTGTAGTGTGTAATGACCACTCTAGACGGGACAGAGCACGATGGGAATATAGCAGGTTGAATCAGAGTAGATTGACTAAAGAGCTAAGAAGGTTGGGAGTTGAGGTTGAAGATATCTCCCTCAGCACAGACCACCAAGCTAATCCTAGCTAGGCTTGGCTAGATACGAGCCGCAATGCAGAGCCTCACGGCACCCTGCTTCAACAAATATATATATTAACTTAGAGAAAAATAATTCGAACAAATACAAAAATCCGCCAGAAAGTCTTCTGAAATAAATGTGTTATGTTACTTTTACATAAATAAAATGTAAATAAGCAACACTACAAAGTGCTTCTTTATTCATTATAACTATTCGAGACTATTAAGCATAATAGAATAATGGTTTACACAGGCTTTTGTGGTTGGATGTTCGGAACCTAATAATGACTTAAAGCCTATACATGCCCTTTTGTATAGTATCGATGCTTCATTATACTCGTGTCTACTCTGAAGAAGATAGGCAAGACAGTAAACACTTATGAGCGTAGAGCGGTGCGTCTTGCCGAGCACCTCTTCCATTATCTCGAGCGTCTGGCGATTCATGGCCTCCGCGTCGGCGTACTTGCCCTGCCTGCCGAGCACTCCA